TTGGAAGGGAGAGAGGATGCACAAGAGAGGAGCCTGATAGATCAAAGACAGATGGGTTACATTGGAGAATATGAAAGAAAGCAAGAAGGGACAAAAAGAATTTAAAATAACTGGGAAGTGGTACGATAACTAACTATTACAGGCTGTATTCCGAGAGTCTGCAGAAGCTTCCTCATCACAGAACCACATTGCACAGATACTAAAGACAGTCTTTTATTTCTGTATTATCGGGCCACACGTTGCAGTGTTTTCATGCTACATTTTCACTTTTATAGATCAATATGACAAAAGGTATCTGTACTGACATGTCATCTGATTACAGGAAAAAAAATCTTCTTACATGTCAATAACCAGATGGCATTTTGAATGGAAAAAAACAAACCAAAACAAAGATCCTTTGCTTAATCCATATTCAAAGATGATTTCATCAAAATACTATTAGAACAAATAATGTTCTGTGGAAATGTGTTTGTTTTAGTCCATCTTAGGATTTACGTGTTTTAGAGATGAGCCGTTAAACTGTCAACACCTCTGTGACTATATAAAAAGATTGATGGGTATGTAAGTTGCATATAGATTGGAGATTGGACTAAAGGAATATAAATGCCTTTAGAAACCTTTGTATGCCAAATCCATCAACTGTTTGGCCAGAAAACCGATGTCTGAGAAACAGCCTCCTAAATCCACTGAGGAAGGACATCTGTACTGGTAACACTGTTGATTTAATTAAACAGTATCATCATACTAGCTATACTCTTCCTACTGGAAGAGGCTTTGAAGGTTTCTTAATGATTTGCTTTTGTACACTCAGATATATTGCTTTCATTTTTTTTTTTTGCTCTGTTGTACAATTTATGACACACCCTTCTGTGAGCCCCATCATGTGCTGTGTATAATCTTGTCTTTTTTACACTATAGTCACACAGGATTATTCATCAAATAACACATGCTCAGTACTTAACATGTGCACTGTAAAGCAGGGCTTGTGTGGAAACATGGTGCTCTGAGTTGTAATTCAGGCAGCCCCAAAGCTCCATTCGTTCTGGGATCTGTGTTTTGCAGTTCCAATTAGTTGACATTGCCCGAGCTTTGCTTGTGCACAGAAGTTGAGAGTCATGGTACAACACAACACAGCAGACAGCAAAGTTACTTCTAGAAAATGGAAAAGAAATGCCTAGTAAACTCTGGAGAAACCCAGTTCACCTCCCATCCCTTGACCCCCTCGGTCAAGAATAAAAGGTTCTTCTTTAAGTTTTGCACTGGAGAAAACAGAGCTAGTAGACTGTCGAGATAAAAGTCTAATGTGTTTAAAAATGAAAACAATTTCCAGTGTCAGTACTCTTTCTCATTTTTCTTTTCCACTTTATGTCACTGTAGTCATTCTCAAAGAACAGGCCATTAATCCTGCTTACAATGACTGATGGTCATTTCAGCTGCAAGAGTGAGGTCACTGGTTTATGGAGGTTATAGCTGCCTTTGGGAACACAAGATGATGAAAGAGAGTTGACTGACTTTTTTGTGTAATTTGAGCATACTGGTTTTCATTTAAAACAGAATTTTTGAAATTCTGTTCCAACTGTCTTTACAGGAGCCATTAGTTCTAATTGAGAAGCAGCACTGATGTTGAATGGGAAACAGAAAAAAGGGTGGAGGTGGAATCAAGTGGCATAAACCAGAGTAATGTACAGTATGAACAAGGGCTAACAGTACTTCCAAGACAATGGAATAATCTGCTTTCAGTTAATGAATACAGAAACTTGTGGAAAATATTTTTATATGAAAACTAATAGCAATGCGCCCCATTGTTTATTTAAATGTAAATCCTTGAAATGGAACTAAAAGATGCGTAACTACAAAGGGTCTTTTTAAGTTGTCATGGGTTAAGACTGACCCCTTCCTGAGAGTTGGGGGCTCAGAGGTGATTGGGTGCCAGGGCAGTGTTCCCTGGAGAGCCAATCACCCCTCGTCTTGTTCGCTTCTGCTAAAAAATCACATATACACAGCCACTGGGAGCTGTTGGCAATTTCTGTTGGTGTCTGCTGTGTGTAGGCGTAGAAGGCCAGGGGGTGGCTGGACTCCTTCTTCCCCCCCTCCAGGTGGGAAGGGGAGCCCTGTGGCCCCCAACTCTGCCTAGGCCAGAGTTGGAGGCAGCACTGAAATGAGTGTGTTTTGTGAAAGAAGAGACTCACAGTACCTGAGGTAAGAGGGAGAGGCAGGCCCCTTGCGAGGAGGCCAGGCCCTCTTCCTCCCCCCCGCAGCTGTGGGACGCTTGGGACAGTGTATAACCTGACCAAGCTGCCTGTGGCCAAGGCTAGGGGGCTTTTTCCCCCCACACTGCATTGAGGCTGGTGGGGGGTGGATTTTAAGGCTTGGTATTGAAGCTAAGCCAAGAGATGGACCGGAGGAGGAGGCTCGGTTGCCAGGAGAAACAGTTGTGATTCATTGCAACAGTTGGAAGAACTTCAGGCAAGAATTGGAGACAGGCCAAAGGGCTCGGGAGTTGCCCTACAGATGTTTGACTGGGGGCAGCTGAAAACTAACTCAGGGGACGTTGATAAACTGACTGAACTACAGCAGCCTACGAACCAAGATATGAGAGGACGGACTTAAAGCTACCTTCTTGGACTTCGTGAGGAGAAAAGACTGCAGCAAACAGCTGGAGGTTGGTAGGGAGTGTTCAGGGGCCCCAGACATCCCCATGAGAGAGAGACTGGTTACTTATCAGCCTGAAAAGGCTTTTCCTGGACTAAAGTTAAAAGGAGAAGCTTCAAAGGGACTGATAGAAGTGTAATTATATATATATATATATATATATATATATAGTTGCTTTTAGTTTGTACAGTATATTTATTTGTGTAAATAAATGTAAATACTTCCCCCTCTTGCCTGAAAGTTTTCTCTTCAGCGTTGAGATAAATTGTGGGAAGGGGTGGAGAAGCCTGGAAATTGGATTTTGGATTTCTAACGTGGCTCAAACTGCCACATAAGTGTATGACCAAGGTTTTGCTAGGAAGACTGGTATTTTGTGTTGCTCTGAGGGACCAGAGCAACCATGGGCAGACTCTTTCCTGATGTGGCATAACACTAGCGACAAAAGACACAGCAAACCACTATTTGCAGTGTAAGACTGATATAGCCTTTGGAATCTATAGATTTAAGAAAAGTGCTTAATTTCTTCTCTCTTTAAAAATAGTATAAACAATGGGGATAGCGTTTCTCATAGTTGTGCATTAGTCCACCCATAGTCCATCCATAGTACCTCAAACCAGCACTATATCTTGGGATCTATACAGGACTGTAGGAGGTCCAGCTCAGCTCCTGTTATCATATGTAGCCTTTCTTGCTGTCCATCCAGCCCCAGATCTTTTGAGAGGATGGATGTTTGAGAGGACTTTGGTCTTATTCCACTCAGTGGAGAGTTTTGTGTCATTTGATAAGCACATGGCCACAGAAAACATCAACCCTGAAAGCCTGTTACTAGAGACAGGGAGTTTCAGGATCAAAAGAAAATTACAAAGACATCTCAGGAGACTAGATCAGTAAAGTGAACTGAAGGAAGTTCAGTACCAACAGAAAATATTTAAAAACAAGTGTCTGCTTCATTACATCATGGAATAGGAAAAAAAGAGAATTCAACAATTGTTTTTAACTTCTTCTCATTAGTCAATTTTTACTCTTCCATGTACTTCAGGAAAAAGTGGATCTAAGACCAGGGAATGAGATATTGCCCAATTAAAGATTTTCCTTAAAGTTAACAATAGGGAAGAGCTAAGATCAAATTTCAAAACAGTGAGCTAAAGTTTGCGATATATGTACCTTGAAAAAATTTTCTTCTTAATGCTTTATAATAGTTAAAGTCAAATGAAAATAGCCTTTCCTTTGGTTTAAGTTTGAACTTTGTTTATTTGAGACAGTTTTTTGTGTAGCATCTCAGACTGTATGGTAACTAACAATATAAAACAACAATAACAATAAAATAACAATATAAAAATGGTGCTGGCCAGTTTGAGCATGTGGTTGATTTTGTGGGATTTTTTTTGGGCAATACAGTATATAGTATGTGCTTCTGGTGTGTTCAACAAACATTAAAAAATATAATCGTGCAACATATCTCACCATTGCCTCAGGCATGTCACAAACTTTAAATAACTAGGAAAAATAATGAAAAATAAAGGTTTGATTTCTAGCTCTGCAGAATTTAGACCATTGTTGTTCCAGTACAAAAAAGGGGAATGCATTTCGTTATCTCACCATTATTACCTGTGAAGAGGGAATGTGTAAAGGTGAAGCTTCTAAATGGCCTTATGATCTTAAACGACAGAACTATTTTGGTTTAAGGCAAGAAACCTGCAGCAAGACTTGCCAGTGTGATTACCGAACTGAAGCCTGGACTCAATGTACAATTTATATGTCATGAAGAACTATTTATAAGGAGCTGTAATTTTAGTAGATACGAATTGTTGTACAGGTTAACCACATCATCTCACCAGCTGTCTAAATCTGCTCTGGGAAGAAACAGGACCAAGCTGTTAAATCCTTGCTCTGATCTACTATATGGATTTAGAAGCTTATTAATTTTTTTTATGTGTGCTTGAGCACAGAAATACCATTACTTGTCATTTGTGATGAGACAGCCTTAGAAAAACTTCAGAGGGATAACTGTTAAGGGATTTCAAAAAACCTTAAAAAATGCCAAGGCGATGTATTCACTCTTTCTGTATCTGTAATGGTCACAATTGCTGTGATCACTTGTGATGCCCACTCTTGCCTGGTGCGCAAAGCCCTGCCCGGACATCTGGGTCCCTTACTACAATGGTGCAGAGTGTGGGGCTGAAGCTGTGACTCCAGTTGTAGCAAGTGAGTCTGTCTCCTGTACTGCTGTCTGTGTTGGCAGTGGTGTTTTCAAGTAACACAATATTTGATGGTTTGTTTTCTAAGCTGTTTATGTTGAGAGGCCAGACAAAGACCAACAATAAATGAGAAGAGACGGAGACAAAAGATGGTTGGTAGAAACAGGCAGGTGCTCTTTATTTCATGTGGCACAGCATTAGGTAGACAACCCAAGAAACAGTTTCTAACAAAAACCAAAGCCATCACTTCCAGGAACCATCCCCCAAACAAGGGTCTACTACCAACAGTGGCACTGAGATGTCCTTGCCTGTCCACTCTCATCTCCTCATAGTTTGTATGTGCTTAGGCTGTGTCTTAGCGGTGAGCGTCCTTTCCAAGGAGACTAACTTCTTATGACACAATATCTTTAGACAGCATACATACTGTGCAGGATCACCAGAGTACAACCTCCTCAAGCCATGCTAAAATATAATGCTAACTCTGGAGAGAAGGCTGTGTGATCGCCTCGTGTCTCTCTGAGGTAATACAATGCTGTTCCTTAGCTGACAACATGAGGGGCACCTGAGGGAGGATCGATATGGCTTCAGAGTCTATTTTTAAACTCCCCATGCAGTAGGGAGGACCTGGCATGCTGTCTGCCGAGACAAGGTGAGGACCTCCTCCACCCCTGGCCGCCAGCAGCACCAGAGAGCTGAGCCTACTGTCACCCAGAGGGATGAGAACAGAGATGCTCTTGGACTAGGAGAGGGCCATCAAAATTCACAACTAACCGGTGGTTAGTAGGTGAAAAGTGAGCAATGATGGGAGTTTGGGGGGTGTGTGTTACATCATTAGCACTCTGGATTTAAAGGCATGAAGAATGGCTGGTGGAAGGAAGATGTTTTAGAGACTAAGGGCAAAGCTTTAAAAGCCTCAGGATATTACTTTTAATTATTATCTACAGGTTATTCTCTCTATATATACTATTTTTTTTTCTAAATTATGAAAATAAACATTTATTAACAAGTCACTGGGTCAAATCCTGCTCTCCAATGAAGCCAAATCCATTGACTTCAATGAGAGGGAGCCCTGTGTAAACAACGAAGGGCAAATTTGGCCCTTTATGTCCTGAAAAGTCTGCTTGTACCCATTTTCTTTCAATACTGCAAGGAAATACAGATTGAAGGGTATATGTAATTGTTACATATATCTCTTAAACTACCAGGGGAGTGTCAATGAGATGTGGCAAAGGAGCAGAAAGAGAGAACCATAAGTAAGTACTGATTTAAAGACAATTTTATCCATATTTCAGAACAAATGTACTAAAAGAGAGTGGATCTGGATCAAGCCCTACTGTCCTTTACTTTCTAAGCAATGACAAAATCCTTCATTTAGCTTCAGTGAAATGTTTACACAACCAGAGAAAACAGAAGGAACCAAACAGTCCTTTTCCTTTGCAAACATCATATGCACAAAGGTGAACACCGTCATCCCTTCGGATGCTTTGCTAACTCCCACTGTCTGCACAGTGCAGCGTCAGCCGCTGAAGACAAAACACATCTACTGTGCACACGAGTAAAACCTGTGGTGTCCTACAAATGTAACATTTTGATGTTTTGAATATTAAAAAACTCTAGGTGCTTTTAGACACAGAACAATACGATTTTGGATGCATTTACCACTTTTATTTCACTATGCAGAAACATACATTCACCATGTGTTGTGATGCAGCTGACAGTGTAATGGACGCTATCCCTTCTGTGGGTATTAGAGCTGGACACTAATGAGTTTTTGGTGGATGTTCTGTACAGGTTAAGGCTTGACTCTGAACTAGATAGTAAATGCTGACCAGATTCTCAAACAGATTTTCTTTTTCCTCTGAGAACAAAAGGGAAATCAATAGAAAACCATCACGGTTATTTCAGATTAATAATTTTCTAAAGCTGCAAACTAAGTAAAATACAGATATTCTTTTTTTTTTCTCCAAAATAACTACATATAATTTACAAGGTTAGGATCTGTGAAGGGTGACTGGAAGCTGACTCTGAACAATGTTGACAAAAATCGGTAAAGTTAATATACTAAAATCATTACTACCTCATAGGGTATTCATTCAGGTATACAAAGCACACTTTGTAAGCATTTAAATGTTTTGATAAGAGTAGAGATTCATCATTGTTTATCGGGCAGTAATAAAACCAGATGAAACAAATATAAGATTCAAGTTGTTTACCGAATAAACTGTGTTATTGGCACATCTAATGTGTGGTAAAACATTATACACAGTACCTATACAGCTTCTAGCATTCTGGGGGTAATCTTCATTTACAATATCCATAAACAAAAGGCTTGCCACCTAACAAATTTTAATTTGTTTAGACTTTCAGAAACTGTGAAAGGCATGAACTGTTTATGTGTTACATGAGATCACTGTTTATATTGTTTATGAACGTGCAGGTATAGCTGAAAACTTAGACATTTTAAGAAAATTAAAAATGCTGCTTTTCTGTAATTTTATTGTTGCTTCATGCAATATTGTTTAACTGCTGCTGATTCAGATTGCTTTCTATGGGAAGGTATCTCTGCCAGTTTCTTTATTAACGGTCAAGATCAATTCTTCTGTACTGAAATTTTCCATAGACAGATACAAGTCAGTCATGTTGGAACTGAGACTCCGTATAGGCTCTCGTATTCCTACTGGTATGCATGTCTGGATTCATATGCAATCTAGGTTATTCCTGCAGAAAAGAGAATTGAGTTAATTATTTGAAGCAACTACTCTCTTACAAAAGATATTTTGTAACTTTGTTCATGTAAGAAAAGCTATTTGAAAATGGCATCATCCCAGTATAAGCAACTTGGACCAAATCCAAAGTCCACTGATGCCAATGGAAAGAATTAGCGACATCAATAGACTTTTAAGCCAGCCACACTGAGCTGTCTTTGAAACAATTAGCAGAATACCACAAGAATCACAGCTACTCACTCCTTAGTGACTGGTTCCATCTTCCAAATAAATAACTGACACTGAAATTCAGTTTTCTTTAGGGTCTGTATATCCAAAAGCAGAAGAGCCAAAGAGCTTCAAAAGGTGCTGTGCATTATACTCTGTTACTTACACCAAGTGCTAAGGAATACATATTGTTTTAAGAATAAAATGCTGCTATTGATTCCAACAAATCTGACAAGAAGCGTTTTCTTCCCCTTCTGCATACAGCATTCAAAGCAATTTGTGCAGTGGTGCTGGCATTAACAGCTTTTGCATAGCAGGTTAGTATGCATGGCATGTTTCTGCACACAGAAGAAATATAGGAATATTAAGATGTCTGTTTATCCAGCCACTATTGGAGAGCATGCCTTTACTGAAAAAAAGCTTGACACGAGAAAAGCTGCATTATCATCTCATCCTGATAAACAATGCTGCTTTAAAACATAAAATGTTCTTTCAAATACAAGAAAGCCAAGACACCCAAATACTGACAAACTAATTCACTGCGTTTAACAGCAAGTTGGACCATATCTTTGCAAGTTGGGAATTAAAACATAACTTGTAACATATCTGCAAGGGACATTTAAAAAGCAGCTGTAAGTTTTTTCCTTTGCATTTTTAAACCAAAATGCACACCTTTAAGAACAAATTATTTTTTGTTCTTAAATGATACGAAAGCAGATGATTTTTTATTACTTCAGAATTAGAAAATTAGACTATAACAAAGCATGGACAATGAGGACTTTTCAGAGAGCCAACGAAAGCAAATGAGTAGTTCTCTTTCTCCAGCTGGCACCGTTAAATGAAGACAGATGATTAGAGCTGAATGTGGTTTACTTTCAAATACCAGAACTGATAACCAACGCAAATGCAAGTGGAAAACGCCACTGAGAGAAAGCGAAGAGTTAGAGGTGAAATATGGTAGGAGAACAACATTTGCAACATGCCAGCCCAGTAAATGCCTAGGAAAATCATCTAATCTTCTTACCTCTGGTCAATCCTCCCCATCTTCTGGTGTGATTTCTGTCTCTTTATGTACCACTACTTTGGTCACTGACATGTCAGGGTGCTGCTCTTTGGCTTCTTTAATTGCCTGAGCCAGCGCCTATCCCAAGGAAACCACAGAAGGGCAAAAACAAAAAGGAGGTGGAACATGCATGATCAGTAGCAAGGTGGAGAGATTCATGAGATATTACACAATTTACAAATGGGGAAAATGATTAAAATATGAAATATACCATCAATGATTTAACTACTAATCCAGTTTAATTTAAGACATGCCAGTATGAACAGTATCTGCCAAAGCAGTATTTAGAAATGTTCTCTTTGGCAGTCTTCATGGTAGCTTTTTTAGCAGTTTATAGATTTTACCTGATCATGATCAATATCTGCATCTCCTGTGATGACTATTCTTTTTTCAATTCTTGTCTCTGAGATGCCTCCTTTCACAGTCTAGATGGGAGGGACAAATGCATGTCAGTAACTTTGGAGTGCTGCTACTCATCCAGAGAATGATCACGGCAGGAACCCAGACATGACTGGACTGAACTGGCTCAAACAGCACATGCAGAAAGGGCAACCCAGAGCTGCACCCTAAGCGGCTCTGAAGTCAGCTTGCTCTCAATGGATTAATGACCTCCCAAGGTCCTTCCGACACAGATTATTTTATGATTCTAGTCAATCTGCACATATATCAGGAGAGATGTTTGTATGTCAAAAATGGTAGGTATTTATAGTAAATTTGTCCCATGAAGAACAGAATGGGAATACAGACACTCCATACAATACAGGGTGGTATGGCCTCTGTATAGCTCGTCTACTAAAAGGTTAGTAGCATTAGAAACTTCACTGTAGAAAGATGAAATCCTGTCCCCAATGAATACTGGTAGGAGAGCTATCAGAGCACTAAGAGAGTTTCTGCTTAGGGAGGAACTGTTATTTAGATGCTGTCTTGGAACTTGGAAGAGCCAACATCTTTTGTCTTTGCAGCTACGAGCTTTCAGTCTGGCTGTTGGAGAGTTCCCCATGGTACTACCCAGAAACACAGCCATGGTGTCTGAGCTGACTGAATGTCCTGTTATGATTACATGGTACAGATTTACTATGTGCTTTCAACACCGTGCACAGGCAACAGCTCAGGAATGAAAGGCAGTATAGTCATGTCAGTGGAGCCTCATGTTCAGGTAAATTATTCCTTCCAGATTACCAAATGATGCCAATGTGATTATCCTGCTTCCAGTTCCAGATAGTATTTGCAGGTAAATCAAGTGTCTCTGCACAACAAGGTTTTGTGTTTGTAAAGACATATGCTAAATGTTCATGACTTTCAGGACTCTGGTCAAGTTTTTGGGTGATGAGTTAATCAAGTCAGTATAGCCAAAGACAGGTAAACGAAGACAGGTACCCAAAGCATACAAGATTTTGCCTAGAGAGCATACGCATGCGTCCACAATTTGAAATAAATCATGGAACTGAGCTTAAGAAAGCATGCACCTTGGTGAAAAAAGAGCTCCCTGTTTTCTGAGGACTTACTTTGGTGATATGTGTAGTAGTTGTAGTGCTGGTGGTTTCAGATGTGATAGTCTGTGCACTCATCAATACACCTGGTTCGGAGTCAGCACCGGAATCCACCTAGGAACCAGAAGAGAAAACCAGTCATCAAAAAAAGTGCTTCTGAGCACAGGGAGACAAGAACTGGACTGTTAAACTTCCCTGTTTCTACAGTTCTTCATAAAGTGAGCATCTAATGGTAGGGAGATAACTGCTATTAGGGTGATCATGTGTCAGTATTTCTCTCTCTGCATCTGGAGGCTCCCCTTCACTTCTGGAAGGACAGATGAGAAGCTGGCATTTTTAAATCTGTAGTTTTATCTAGAAAGGCCCTACACCAGAACATGAGAGTCACCCTCAGGTAAGTTATTCTGATGTACATCCTCCTCATGCCAATATTTAATACTTGAACAATTTAGAACAATTTACACTAAGGCATACACTTAAAAATGGGTAAAGAAACATGAGTTCCTTAAGGGCATATTAAATTAGACAGTGTCTTTTGCAGAATTTCTTACCTGAGAAGACTCATAAGTAATGGTTTTTGTTTCTGTATGGACTACTGGCACTTCTTTTGTTGAAATTTCAAGGTTTTCCCCACCAGGAACACTGCTGAAACTGATAGTCTCAGTCTTCACAACTGGTGACTGTGTGAACAAAAAACAAGGAATTGGAATATGGATTTCTCAGAAGGATTTTTTTTTTTTTGCTTGGGGAAAAGAAAGAACAACTAAAAAGTGCTCTGCATTTAACAAAAAAAAAAAAGGAGAAAATTATCTTCATTACAGTGGTACATACATGTATATAATGCTGGCAACACTTCACACTTCCCTGGACTTCATGAAAACAAAGTTCAAAAACATTCTAAAAACTACAAGAGGCAATGTTCACAACCCGAAAAATAGGAGATTCCCTCTGAACATCAGGAGACACCTTTTCACTGTGAGGGTGGCCGAGCACTGCCACAGGTTGCCCAGGGAGGTTGTGGAGACTCCCTTCTTGGAGATGTCCAGAAGAAGCTTTCTGGACATGGTCCTGGGCAGCAACTGACTCTGGGTGTCCCTGCTTGAGCAGCAGGGTTGGAGCAGATGAGCTCGAGGGCCCTGCCAGCCTCAACTGTTCTGGGATTCTGTGATTCTGTGCTTTCTTAACATGACGAGAGAATGAACCCTGTTCAGGGTTAGTCTTCTGCCTTCTGTGGAAAAAAACCCTCTGCAAACCAGCTCTTGAAATTCTGCTAATGGGTCTAAGGTAAGGAACCTGGGTTAAGACACTGTACACTTGTTCATAATTGTACCAAGCGTGGAAAAAAAAAATCTATTTCCTGTCTTTGAGGACATATGAACTTTGCCAATCTGGACAGACTTTCCCAAAGACAATGCCAGCTGATCTGGTTATCTGTTGCATAAAATACCACGAAATTCAGTATTTCTCTGTAGCATGAAAAGCACTTTTACATAAAACATGCATGGCGTTTTGCTAATGATGGAAAGCAGCAACAAGCCTTGCACATGCCATGCAAGGAGGAAATAAGAGGAGAAACAAACATGCTTCAAAGATGCAATCATACAAACTTGGCACACTTTACTTTCCATGACAGGAATTAACTTAGTCCACCATTGCCTATGTTCGCAATTCAGCACAGGCGTGAGTGATTTAATAACAAGTTACCTCAAAATGAGATTTTCTTTCCAAAGACTCTGAAAGTTGGACTGTTGTTCTGTGCTCCTCTGCTTGCTCACATGAAGCAGTGGCAGTGACTCCTTCCTGTTTGGTTCGGGCTTTCTCAGCCTCCTCCCTTTTTTCCTCCTTCGCCCCCTCAGTCCCAGAAGAGCCCTCCTTCCCTTTCACGCCAGCAGCCACTGCGGATGCTGCCTCAGCCTGGGCATCCAGCACAAGTCCAACCACTTTAGCAGGATCCCCGCCTGCATGCACCTCCATCCCATGTCTCTCCTTGACAACTACAGTCTCCTGTACAGCCTTCTTCACTGTATCCTGATGTGGCTGAACTGCTTGCTTCATGTCACTGGAAGTTATCTCCTGAGATGTCGTTGTGTCTATTCTCTGCAGGGAAGGAGGAAAAGAACACTCAGCATCAGAAGGAGACAACACTATTTGCCGTAGCTCCTCAGCTTAATGTACTGTGAACATAAACTAAAAAATGGGTATTATATTTTGCCAATTTATTTCTCTCATGTTGCACGGATTTGTTCTCAGGATGTTATCAGTACAGTAGAAATGCAAAACAAAGCAAGAATCACAACTTTTAAAAGTGAAGAGAAATGTCAATGTCAGTGTTTTTCTCATTGGTATTTCTGTGGGAGTTTTATAAAGGCAAAATACAATACCCTGCACAATGACCAAAATAAAGTGAAATGAAAGGAAACCTGGTTTGTTTTTTTTTCCTTTTTCAGTGAAGTTTCTGTTGTGATCTCTTGTAACAAAGGAAAAGGCACATGAATACATGCATTACTTATATAGTTCCAAATTGTGCAAAAAACCAGGAAACAACAGAAAAGCAAAAGTAATTGTTCTGTAGTTATAACACTGATGGAGGGAATCAAACGGCCACCTGAGCCCAGCTATGGGAAGTTGAAGTAACCCCTCCTATGAACTCAGTCGGTTTTCTGGCAGACTCTATTAGAGTGAAGATATCTGAACCATCCAAGGTTTTTTCACTGGTGGACTGTTTAGTCTAAATAGACAAAGAAATGTAGAGTCATACACAGAAGAAAGGCAGACCCACATGAACAGACATATTAATTGCCAAAACTGAAGGCAGAGACAGAGGAAAAGGAGAGAAGGTTGCAGGGGCACAGAGAAGTTGGAAACGGGAAAAGAATGGGAAAATAAATCAGAGCAAATTCATAATGGCTGTAGTAAGCAACAGTTTAAAAGCATAGTTGTTAGCATTGGCATTTTGCTGGTTCAAGCAAATCTTTTTTTTTTTCCTTTTATTAACAAGCCACAGCAGCAATAGTACATTTCAGTAACACGGATCTTTAAATAAACCAGAAAGGTTGAAAGCCTTATATAATGTCTGTTTCAGACTGTGGAACAGATTCAAAGTATGAGAGAAAAAAAATAAGCTGGGTTGGCTGCTGTCAACACAAAGCCAGGCAGCAAGAGAACCAAAAGGTAGGGCGGTGTGAGGGGATTGCCTAAAAGAAGTCATGCTTTTATCTTTAAATCGTGGCATGAAGTCAAAGCCACTTGTTACCACCACTCTTGATGCAGACGACTCAGTAACATAGTGAGCAGTAGCAATGGTAAATGGCTGTTCTCTGGAATATCTCCACTCAGACAGGCTCTTATCTGTCCAGGCAAACGCCCCTGCTTTTACAGCTTCACTGCCAAGATGCTCCTCTGCTTTGCCAAGCTGTAAGCTTCCCAGTGTACCATGTAATTGCAAATCCTGGTCCATCTTTAGTGTCTTTTTCAAACTCTCCTCTTCAGGACTTTGCAACTGAGATTCTGCTTCCTTTATGGGTGTCAGAGAGTCGGACAGCTTTCTTTTTGTGCTCTGCATGTCGGATCCCCGCCTGGCTTTCTCATCAGTGACGGGCTTGAGAATTTCATACTTGGCCACTATTGGAATGATTTTCACAGATTCTTGCACTTCCCTTTCCATTTTTTGTGAAGTTTCTACTGAAGTCTGTACTGCTTTCTCGCCCTCTTTAGCTTTACTTGTCATGGTTACAATTTTCCCAGACATGGTATCATAGGACTTTCCTAGAGTGAACATTTTCTGCTTATTCTCCTCATTGGATTGTATTTCGCTTTCCAAGTCCTCAAAGCTCTGCATTAGAACGGTACTGGATTTTAACATCTCAGGTGGAAAGGTAGTTTTACCGCTCACAGTCACTACCTTGTATGCCAGATTTTTTTCCGATTCACCATCAACTACCTCAGAGGGTATTTTGTCTATAATAACCCAATCCTCAGTGCCCTATATTTGAGATATAAAAGCTAAATTAGAATATCTGAAGGTTTATCTGTACTTCAGGAATACTAAAGTATGAAGACTTCTAAGAAATCAATGCTGCCTCTTCTGAAACCATATAACAACTTTTACCATTGTAGTTCTTAAAGCAGTTATCAAACAGACAAGCAGAATCACCTTAGGCATATGATTTCTTTGCCTATTGTCTCCCCTCAGAGGCCCATATAACGTGGACACAAAAAATATTTTTTCCACACTATGTTTGTATTCGTTTTAAGTGGTATAGCATTTCAGGGCATGTTTTAAAATGATGATTGGACTCATCCTGGGGTTAAAAATCACATATCACAGAGGTTCATAATGCTACCGTAAAAGAAAAAAAATATTACAAAAATAGGGCAAATAAACCCATTCAACTGTTCCCCGGTTGTCACAAACACACTGCTGATGAGGTTTTATAATAGTATGCATTTGTACGTAGCTGTAGCCTGCACTGAATTTCCTTGTTTACATTAGAATAACTTCAACCCTCTTCAGAATTGTCTAAATGGAGCAGTACAACACAGTTAACTGTGTAAACTAAACATACTACTAAAGATTCTGAATGGAACTTAATTGCAGCATCTTTTTCCCTCCTCATGCAAATATGCTATGTGATTTTCTTTGATTATGCAATCAGCACCCAGCTATTTGACCTTAAGACCATAATTTCTGTATTTAACTAAACAAATGAGGTAGTTTAAAATCGAATGAATTAAAAATAACCTCTAGGGATGATGGGATACTTTTCTGGATAATGATTTGATGAGAAGTAACCAAAGTGCCAGCAGATTCTCCTTCCTGCAGCTTCTTCTCTATCACACTTGGCTAATAGAAAAACCAATAAAAATACAAAGTTCACCATCACTCGGCATAATCTAGATTCACTTGATAATAAAAAGGAAATTCATTCTAGTGACAGAAGTGCCCCATTCACCATAACGTTCTCAGTGAGGTTTATGCTGGAAATGCATGCACAACCACAAACAACATCCACAAACAGCACCGTGCAAGTAGATTTCTAACTAGCAGAGAAATCAGTCTCCATTAGGAAGACATAAGCTCTGGAGGGGACTCATTCCTCAGAATTTTGTCCCCAGATTACATCTCCATCTGAAACTTATGAAATAATAATAATAATAAAACATATTAAAAAGGGAGGGCTTGGAACGGAAAAAAAATAATAAAATAATAAATAATTGCCATCCTATTTGACTGCATTTCAAGAAAGTATTGTTTGTTTTTACCTGCATTTCAAGGAATGTAGTACCTCCCTTCTGCAAAAATATGAGTTTTTCTGATTTTTCTCTTTCTTCTTTGGTCTAATGTCAGGGGAATAAATTATTTTAGTAAGCGGAGGGTATAAAGTCCACTATACAGTAGCTCATCATATTTCTCTACACTAAATATTATTAACTGAATGGTAAATTAGGAAACAGAATTAAAGAGAATCATTTTACAGTAAAGAGGTTTCCAATAAGAAGTGAAATCAGTGCCTCTCTGTGGTGAATGCGAAGTTGTCACAAGCAAACCACTTGTGTAGTACAAAACCCACTAAAACGAGTAATACCTCGGTGTGGATGCACTGTGTTCCTTTCATCTCGTGTTGTTCATTTAACAGTGACTGATGCTGAGAACAGGCCCCTCCACCTTCACCCTGGATGAGGCTCTCTTCTGAGTTTGCAGCCCTTCCTGCTGAAGCAGGCACAAGGTGTGCCCTGCAAAGATTTCAGCACTCCCTGCTGGTATAAGAGGCCTCAAGAGTCCTCCTCCTACACAGGAAGCTAACCATTGCTCTATTATCACTATAATGAGACACTGAACTCCTCCTCAGTTTTTTATCCCATCAGTGCCTTCTCAGTGCTGTAAGAATAGTATCTCTGCAACTTGACCAACTGGGAAAATTTTAAATGTTGGTAAGACTCCACTTCCTAAGCCTTTTGGTAAGACTCCACTTCCTAAGCCTTTTGAGCCACCTTCTCAGCCAGCCACTGTTGCCATTTGGCCAGAGAAAGCAAGTCTCTACAGAACAAAATAGGTTTCTTGCTAAACCCTTTCTAGCCACTTCAGTGGCTATGTGATTTTCTTCGACTATGCAATCAGCACCCAGCTATTTGACCTTGCACTTAGCCACTTCAGTGGCTAGTGCACTTAATAGACATGCCAGTGGAAGTGTTATGACTGGCATGACAAAAGCCTATACTCAAGAAGAAAGGCAGAAATTTAAAGAGGAAGGGGTAAAAGCTCATCTCCCTGACTGCGATGAGATGCATAAAAGTGTTGGCTTGATCCAATCCAGGTCAGATTAAACATTGTCAAGGAGTTTGTTAATATGTTTGCTTTCATATTCTGCAGCTATCGGCCACCATCATGGCAGATATTTAAAACTGTATTTTTCATAAATAAAGAAGAACGAAGTATTTCCCCTACTATTGTAACAAACCAAGTGGGTTTGCACATTTTGAAAAGGCATATTTTCCCTTCTGTTCTTGGTTTTTTTTAAAATGAAAGAGCTACAGGTAACAATGCACTGAATACAATTTTAAAGTGGATATGCTAAATTAAATGTGTAACTTCTTTGACTAGCAGAAGGCACTACCTAATGAAGTTCTATATGCTCTCTGCCCTGACTGCCTCTGCATTTCTTGGTAAATATCAAGGTGCTAAATTTGACCTATGGATGACTTCAGTTTTCTCCTGAAAAATTCCTCTTTCAGCAGGACATGTGAATTGAAACCACCCTGCTAAGTGGGACCAAAAAGGATGGCCAAATGTTACCTACAGCAGGGGCCCCTTTTTGCCAGAAGTCACCTCAGAGTTAGTCTCTGATAGCTCAAATCCTCTCTCAGTTTTCCACAGAAATGCCTTCATTTGGGTGAGGTTCTGTGAAATAGCTGTAGATTAGTTAGATACATTGCTTTTGAGCAAGTCATTTTCTACTAGTAAGATAAGAGATACCAGATAAGGATAATTCTTGCCCTTTTCCTTTCCAAAAGAATGGTTAAATTAGGATGTGTTTCCTCAGGGTGAAGCCTACATAACTGTGTAAGCCTTTGCTATTGCTTGTGTGTTTTAATTAAAAATTGTTATTACATTTCTAAAGTAATAAAGACATTAAACAAACAGGGTGGTGCTATTTTAAGTTTGCTTCCTCTGCAATCTGATTCAGGCTCAGCTAGCTACCTGCTCCCTTTTCATCCAGTCCTTACATCTTTAATATGTTAAATGCATCCTGTCCATTACATTTATAATTTTATTTTACAGTTTTCTTTCATGAAAGAAAACCCGTATTTTCAACTACAAGCAAACTAATCTGTTCTAGGGTCTATTATGATTCATGAACAAGACGGTAGGAACAACACTACGACTCCTCTGTGCTCCCCACAAAAGGGAAGCTCGGGGTTTTGAGTCCGCTTTTTTAGGTATTTTAATTCAACTTGATGGCCACACCAGTGGATGTCTGATGCCTGTATCAGCCACTGGTTAGATGGGTATAATGTGGGAGAGGAGGAGGTGACAGCCTTTTTCTTGGCAATATCCCTTTCCCTAAGCGGAGAAGCTGACACATGCTACCTGTGTGCCTCCACAGATTCCCTTCTCCAGAGAGCTGTGGGACTGCAACACCAACCTCTGAGGCTGAAAAGCAGAACAGCCTTTCCAGCCAATTTTTGCTGAGTTCCTTACAACATTACATCAGTGCTGTGGGCACAGAAGCAAATTGCACATCTTTGCAAAATGCTAAGACCACTTGCATTATTGGTCTGTAATGCTAAAACCAAGAGGTAACCATAAAGATGATTTCTGTAAGGTAAAAACCAGATATCCATCCACAATAAAATAAAAAAAAATGAACTTTCATGCAAACCACATGAGCTTATTTCTTTTTGCTCCACTGGATTTTAACCAAGATGCTGTCTTTTTTTTGAAGATCTATGTATTTTACTGCAACATGAATGTTGCTACCCCTACATGTCATTATCTACCCACAAATTAAGTAAATTCCAGCTTTTAAATTCACAAGTTTCTTACAAACACTTCAAAGACCACACAGTAATCAGGATTTTTTCACACATGCACACTGCATAGAAATGCAGACACTGAGCAATCTGCATTGGGTCTTCAATGGAACAGTATCCAGCAGACTGCAGCGACCCTTATGGAACTGGCCAAAGTGGTCTAATTATCATCATTATTTCTTCCCTGTCTTCAAAGACTGAGAGAGTTCTGCCCTTTGCTCTGTATTTTCTTGTCAAGCCTGGCACCATACCCCCATCTGTCTCACTACACTGCTTCTCCCAGTCAGTCACCATTATTTAAATTTTCTCTCCATCACTTTCACAGTTTCTTTCATGCATGGTTGGACTTCCTCAAGCTCACCGAAACTGTAACGACAGCTCAGAGAGACCCAATTCTGCCACACAGCTTATAGTGAATTTCATTCTCTAAATACATATATATTCTTATATATATACTATATATACTTATATATATGTTGATAGTATCTGCTCTTCCTTGCATCTAGAGCTTCAGTCCTGAGGAAAGGGGATGCCTGCAAGCAGGGAATAGCTTCTAACTATGGCCTCTAATCTACTGAGGGCTGCTATAAGTAAAAATGAATAGACAAATACACAATGAATCCTTTCAGCTCACGCTGACCTCTTCAGGCACTAGTGGTTCAATCATAGGAGCATCCTCCTGCCTTGCTGCAAGCCGAACGGGAGATGTGGAAAGCCTCTTCTCCCACTCATTAGACACAGTCGTTTCTGTGGAGGTTTCCAAGAAGGTGCGTTTCAACTCGCTTATATTGGTCTGATGTTTCATCAGATCTTCCTGGGTTTTGTCTAGGTCCTGGACAGTTTTAAAAGAATAGAGCAGTTTGTGATACATCCTAAGCCAACCAAATTTTAGAGCCAAAACACACAACTTGGTTAGTATAGAGGGAAGTAACAGCTCAGGGAGCCAGGGAGCACAGCACTAACACAACACTCTGTGAAAATGTGGCATTTTGAAAGATAACAGCATAGCATATCTCGTACAAGTGAGTATAAATACACTCTTAAGCTCTTATCCAGAGCTTATCCATATTGCTATAATTTGCACCTGATCAGGAGGCTTCAAACAAACATACATATGCGCGTGGAGGCACACACATATACGCACACGCATATATCTGTATTTATAGTACAAGTTAGAGGAGTCATCATAATCTGAGAAAAAAAATAATCTATTAGGAGGTGGGAGTACACAGTTCATGCATCATAGTGCAGATCCACAGTTTACCACTAAAACTAACACACATGTACGTACATGCACTGGTATATACCAATACCAACCTCTAACATAAGATTACTATGTTTGACATACACATTTTCACCCTGTATTTGCTTAATCAGACTATTCTGAAAGAAGTGAAAAAGAAAGGGAAAGGTAAGGGACACAGTATTGAAAGGATACAAAATGCTGTTTCTACACATTTCTTCACAGAGAACCGACAGTAACATGCTGAAAGAGGTGAACACCTCCACATTGATACCTGAGCAACATCTAGGCCTTTCGTTTCTGTACCTGTGCCTTTAGATCTCCGTCCTCCTCTTGATCCGACTGCCAGCATGAGAAAGATTGGAAAACAACACCTTACCCACTCATATCAATTAAGGCTTTATGGACATTGGTGAGAGGTACATACTGGGTTAAAATCCCATTTTCTCTACAATAAGGGCTTAAGGAGGAGTAGACGCACTGGCTTTGCACAGTTTTTCTAACTCAGAGGAAACCTCCTCTTCTCAAATTTGTTATTTGTTAACAAAGCGGTATAAAACCCTTTCCTTTTATAAAAATTGCTACACTCCACATCCATAGATCTCTGTTTATGGAGCAGCGGTTGCACCTTCTCACCAAGGTCATGGCTGGACTAGTACTGAAAGGGAACAGCAGATTCTTTGGAATTCCGTAAACCCAGAGTTTACACATATGGTATCATCTGGGCAACAAGCAAAGCTTTGCATAAACTCGCCATGGGCAAACAACCCGCAACACTTTCTACAGAAGGAAGCACATTTTATTTGCTTGAAATGCTATTTTCCTAAGCTCAGCCCCTTCCTGTATTTCTTTAATTTTATTTCATATTTAGCCTGTATATAATCTTTCAGGAGATAGGTCTGCAGTGGTGGTCATCTGGAATGACACAGACATCCCATCCCCTTCAGTGCATGTTTTCTAAAGTAATGCCATAAGGACTGCCCCAGCAACCCGGTTTCTGAGGGTGCAATTTTCAGGTGGCAAATATACCACACATTTTGAAAATCAGGTATCCGTAAGGAAAACTGAGGTTTGTTATATATTCTCCTCTAAAATAAAGAGGGCAGCTACAGAGATGAACATACATTTTTAAGTAATAAAACGAACATTTTAAATGTCACAATTTTATGATTACGTTTTACTTTCTGGAGGGTTCAAGGCCTGAAGCTATGGGAGTGCAAGAGGCACTTCAAAGGATTTTGTACTCCTGACTCGTCTCAACAGAGTTTATGTTGTTGCCCTGTTTGAATTCTTTTAATGTCTGTGCTGATATTTTATCGTCAATTTTTCATATTGTCCTAATTAGTCAAATGACTCACGGGAAAATCTGTTGATTACTTTATAACTCAGTTCAAATCTATTCTATTTACAGCCAAGGCTGAATTGTCCTGATATGTCATACAAAAAATTCTTCCTTGACAATAATTTTAACAGTCTCAAATATTAATGAGATCCTTCTGAAAACCTACGGTAGTGTTTGTGGTAAGACTCTGTCTTCTAGCAGATGTCAGACCAAATTCAGCTCATGTTTGCAACTGCAACCATATTAATTATGAAAGCATTATATGCACTTCAGTGAAGTCACATAGGGTTGAATTTGTCTGCGCAGTCTATGTACTATGTTGTGGATATGAGGCTTCCCAGTGCAAGGAAAATATAAACATTTTACGTTCCTCCTCTGAAGACACTACCTAGACTAGTGGTGTCAATATGTGAAGATGCCATGTGAAATTAAATTCAAGGAAAAACTTAGGTATTTATAATGTGGAAATACCCTTATTCAGTAAATTTGAAAATTGCTTTTAACTGTTTTTTCCCCACTCTCTCACTCAGGCGGCAGAGTGTAAGCGCAAACAAACAAACAAAAAACCCCAGGGAACGATCTGACCAGCACGACCATCCCGGTGGGGCGCACCAGTGTGTGTGGCACTGCCACTGCCCCACTATCTGCACAACGTGGAGGCCTTGCAGTTTCCAAACTAAACTCAGAAATAAGAGGAACCCGTAGGGAGCACTGAAAACTCAACTCCCCCAGCAAAGCTGTCCCACTCGCAGGCACACACATGCACACACGCGCAGAAAGGGATCCTGAGCTGCCGGAACAGACATGCGGTTTAGCCCCGATGCCCAGGGTTGGGAAGAGACAAGGAAAAACGCTCTCCCCTGCCATAGCTGGGTGCCGGCGACTGTACAAACCTCAGTGGCAGTGGTCTCACCATCAGCCGCAGTATCCGTCTGCTCACTGTCAGTCTATTTGGTTAGACAAGTAACCGGGTCCCAAGAGGAAGGCAGGAATAAAGAATAAACCCAGCTCATCAGTACACGCGGCTCACACGGGGAACTGTTAAACTCAACATCCCTGTGAACTGCATTAGCATTGCTTTTCAAACAACGCACAAGTCAAAGAAGCAAAATAAAAATGCTATATTAGTAAACAGAACAGACTCAGAGGAAGACTCGAGGCGTACTGTACACAGTATATGGCTTTACTGGAACAAATTTATAAGCCATACAAAACATTACTGGAAAAGTGTTACTTGAATAGCAGATTTTTTTTTTCCTTAAGAAAGCCAGGTAGCTTTAAAAAAAAAAATGGGGGAAAAAAGCAGCTAATATTTTCTAAACAAACTTTTCCTCCCAATAACTTTTTAAAATAAAATTATTTAACAAATTTTTGTTCTAGCCAATATAAAGTGGTGGTTAAATTTTTATCCAGAGGGGGAAAAGATAATTTAAAAAAAATGGCTACTTTAACAGTCACCTGACTTTCAGCCCCTCATTTGTACAGAAGATTTTCTTGTCTCCACATTTATACACCATGAGGCTGTCTGCATTACCAAGGAGTTCAAATAACTACACCCCCAGCCCATCTACTGTCTGTCTGTGGAGTAGTGGTAAAGCTCAGATCCCACTCGGTTCCAATAAAGAGCAGCTGATAATTGTCAATAATAGTAAAAAGAAAGAAAACTGCCACTAAAAGAATAAAAAATACTTCTCATTTCATTTAAGAATATGGATGAAAGCAGGAGAAAAACAAAAATAACTCCCCCCATCCCCCAAAACAATTACTAGGTATGAGTGATAAAGATGAAACAAAGCACAGCATTGCACAGACTGATCTATCCCTGCTTTGCTTGACACCATAAAGAACATTTTAGCGGAGAACGTAAGTGTCAGGATTTAATAGAGAGTGGAGTGCAGGTTATTACAGGCTGAGAAGAGAGTTCAAAAGATACTTTGCTGTTATCTAAGCATATGGAAAACTAGTAAGTAAAGTCCTCCCTGCTGCTCCAGACTGGCACATCCAAGTTGTTTCGATACCAGCGAGATCTCTGGGTTTGATAAGTGATTTTCTGTGGTCCTTAGATAATCTAAAGTAACCCAGGCAGGTAATTTAAAGCCAGGACAACACATCTCATGCTCAAATCTCATCAGTACGGACAAGAAAAAACCCATAACCTACTGGTGGATGGAGTATCAGTCTTAGCTTTGAATTTCCTCCAATCTTCTGTCATTTTCTGACAACTCCAATGTTTCATAAAACTGTTATTTTGATATTTTTTTCATTGCTTTCTTTTCTATTATTCTTTCTTTTGAGTAGTTTGTATTGTTTGTCTGACAGGAAGAAGAATAAAGAAGCATTTTGCACTATTTGATAAGTGCATGAATGCAAGTTACATGCAATTTTTCAAGCAATAACCACTCGTGAGACAGACCGCATCCATTTTTAAATGAAACTGTACTGTCAAAATAGTCTATTAGGCTAGTCCAATTGCTTTCACTAAAGTTAGAAAATTGTTTCTTTATTAGTGAAGGATCTCATAACTTTATAACACTATAAGCAATTGTAAAGGTACGGCAATAGAAAAGAAAATCTATGCATTGTCACTGCTATTTACAAAGAAAAAAAGAAAGAGGAATTAATGAATCTAGACATTTAAAAAGAATTAAAATATTTGTGTCAAGACACAGTAACACAAGGCTGGCACATAAGGTTCATTTAAGAACTTGAAGTCAATAGAAATATTGGCTGCTAAGGTACAAACATGGAAGCTAATGAATTCTAAGGGGTGAGATTTTGTCTTTGATTGCACAGACTGAATCCAGATGCATTGCTCAAGGGATAACAAGCTCAACAATGTATGAGACTGGCTCAGGATACTGCCCTTAGCCTTCTGCATCTCTGTGTCCAGTCATTTGTGAACTGAAGGGGAAAAAAGAGGTTCCTATTTCTTTTACCATAAGAACAATGAAATCCTAAATAAAGCATAAAATTTGCTTTATTGCAACATATATGTCTGCTAATAAGCCAATCAACAGCCATGGAGTTGAAGTCAGCATTGCTGAGTTACTTGAAATAAAGATTTGGGGTTATCAAAAAGCAGGGAATGGTGAATTAAGGCTGAGCAAGGCAGGCCTCCAGAGCGGAGAATAAGAAAGGTCAGGCTCAGCTCCAAGATGGGCTGTAGTACAGCTGCTGGTGGGGCTGGCGGACAGGCAAGGGATGGAATAGGACAGAAGGCAGCTATCTCCTGAGATGCTGCGCCTGCACCTCCCCTAACTTGCGATCAGAATTGCTGTGATTTGTTTTGCCAATGTAATGCAGACATGCCTGAGTTTAAAACATATTCACTTTCATGCAATATTTTGAACAAGAAATACCCCGTGGATTAGGCACAAGTCTGTGTTGTCTGCCAGGAAGCACTGCCAGAGTAATCACCCTCAGAAAAGAGTGACACTAAAAAAGCCTATTTTATATTTTTTTATGCTCAATACTTCCTAACTTTACTAACAAAAAGAAGCGCTCATTTCTGAAAGAGGAACAGACCAATGTATTACATAAATACTGCCTCATTACTGCCTCTGGAGCTGGCACTATATTAATGCTGTTACTGCTATTAGATTAATCCAAGTGCAGAACTAATGTAAATTGAGACCTAAATGCTGTCTCAAAATGAGGACACAAAATGAGACAGCAGTGTTTTGGATGCCTTTTATCAGAAATTGCACATTATTTTTTAATTGTCAGGCATCACGGAGCCAAAAGCATCCAAACCCAATGTTTTCACAAGACAAATTGATGCAACTTTTGGCTTTCTATAAAAAGGAAATTAAATCCTGCACCCAATCTTACAAAACCAATAGTGGCAGATGACACAAATGTTTAGATGTGCAAGCTGATTTATTGGAGACAACTACTGCAATGGCATCGACAAGTGGCCAAGGCGGTTTTTTACAAGCGGCCAACTGGTCTATCGTTATCTGATCTGGGGCTTTTTTCTTTACATACAAAGCAAAACTGTACTTTTGTACTTGAAGACAAAGAGGAAAAAAGAAAATTGAGTAAAAAATGAACTCATTATTTTATTCTGTCAACAAAGAATAACCAGGCACCAGCAAAAACTGAGATGCCATCTACTTTGTTATTTAAGCAGATTCTTTTCCTACTTCTGGATATATCATCGCATTCACTGTTCCCAGAACTACTGCAGACTCCTACTGCAATTGGTTTATCTGCCCGTGATGACCCTGGTGGCTTGAGGCATCGGTTTTGGCAGTGCTAATCTAACATTGCAAATGTCAAGACAGCCCACATGGCACGCTCCCCAAACAGCTGCAGAACAGCTGTCCCAATCTGACCTCTCACTGATATACTGGATTTAACCATGGGAAAACAATTTAATATGCAGCAGAGATGGGATCAAGGCTGAAAATCGAGATCCAGGTTTTGCTGGACCAGAAAGCCTTTTCTGCAGTTGGGCTACAGCTGATAGCCTTTTGCAAAAGGCTGAATCCATCTGGATTTTGAATATGCTGAAGTTGGTGAGGGTGCTCTTTATTGCTGGGTAGCTAGTTATATAAATAACTGTAGATAAATATGCATATATATGCATGCTTCAGTAATTACACAGAAAATTATACTTAATATGCACTATTTAGGTAACTATTCTAACCCTAGGATAAATTGATAGAGGGAAGAAAAAGGTCTGGGTTGGTTCAGATACAAAACTCCAGAGCTGATCTGTGACAATTTATTTAGTGCAAGTCACTTTACACCAGCTCACACAGTTCAAACCAAGCCACTTCCACACAGTGTTGTGCCTAACCCTGGGCCCCAAGCTGCACTCCCAGCATGAGAAAAAAAATAAAAAAAAAGAAGAAAAAATAAACAACAACCCCCAAACCAAAAAAAAACCCTTCTAACATATCAGCACAGACAGAAATGAGGCTCTGAAAGTAGGACCACTATTGCAGCAATCTAACACTGGTTAGGACTGAAGCACTGAACACGAAAAAGAGTGTGTTCGATGCCGAGGTACACACCTCTTCCTCTGAACTGTCACTCAGGTCATTGGCAAGTGAGGCACTCAAGGAGGCCGCCTTGGGCTCCAGGTAGCAGAGGCACATAGCCAGAGGAAAGGAGAGAGTGAGGGCGTATGGCACTGAGAAAGAGGCAGAGAGCAGAAAGAAAAAAATGAAGAGGAAACAAGGCACGAGGGAGGGGGAGCGGATGGGGAGGTAATGCTGCACGCTGGCAGGCAGGAAGTTGGTTTCGGAGAGGTTAGGGAGTGACAGGTAGCCATCATCATCCAGGAGGGAAGGAAATGACTCTGGAAGTTGCAAGGAGAAGGAAAACAGCGTTCTGCCCTTGCCAGCTTTTTGCTTGTAGCCGAAAGCCATGTCTTGCTCGGCGGAGCAAACTCGCCCCTTTCTGTCAGAGTCTGGCTCCGACTCGCTGTGTTCTGGAGCGCTCTCTTTGGGCGCCTCACAGCCTAAGGACTTTGTCCGAGCTCTCTCCTTGCATCTCCTGCGAAGCTTTGCTGAAGATACATGGGGGCCAGGTTGAGAGGATGGCGAGGGGTGGTGGGAGTCAGTGCCAAGCACAGATGTCTGGTGACAGAGAAAGAGCAGCAAACAAGGCGCAAAAGCAAAAGGACAAAAAGAAAACTGTAATTAGTTAATTTTCTTCCGTGATGATAAATAATATATATTATATATATAAAATTATAAACAGTATTTTAATACCACAGCTTTCCACTGAATTAAACGGTGCATGTTCCTATGCCACACACTACAGGTATTAGTGATTTGAGATTCCAGCTTACAAAAGGCAACTTCTTGATTCAACGTTTGCCTAGTCCTCTCTGCAGCACAGGGTTTACTTAAAGGCCTCCACGGCCACGTGTGGAGTTCTGGGTTCTGCCAGTTTCCACTTACTGTAAGACTGGCTTCTGATCATAAGGAGTTTTCAACATGAAGTACATGGAGAGCAACAAAGAAAGAAGGGAATGTATTTCTAACACCAACACTGCTTGTGACAGCATTCCTGCAGTCAGGAAGAGACCCAGTGGGGGTCAAAAGTTTCCCATCTATGTCTTGGACAACCTCAACAGTAATAATTAAAACTCCAAGAATTTGAAACTCTACATGCCCAAAATCCTCCACTGCAATATTAAAAAAAAAAAACAAAACCAAAACCATCTAGGTCCTAAACCTAACTAAAACACATTCTGGTTTGGGAAGGGGGCATAAAAATCCATATGTTAACTGCTACTGATGGAAGAAAAAGTCACTCGATACCCACCCTAGCAGCCAGGTCCTCAGCACAGCCCCCACCACCACTCAGGCTGCCCTCTCCTGGGCATCCCCACAGCCCTGCCCTCAACCCCTGCCCACGGTGAGCGGGAGCAGGCACAGCTGGGAACTCACCCCCTCCCAGCCATGCACCCTGTCATCCCTCCATGCTGCACGCCACCGGTGGCACATCGAAAGAAGGGAGCTGAGGTGTGTGGCTAGGCAGGCCCCATGTTCTCTCACTGGGGATCTGAAGGGGGGCTGACCAGAGAGAGGTCTGTGCCCCACACAGCCACATCTCCTCATAGTCAAAATGTGACCCTCTACCTACAGGGAAGAGATAAAAATGCACCCAATGCTTTTGCTACAAATTTTATCCCAATGCAAAGAATACTGGCTACCAACAAGCAGGAGTTACTTTGGTATGCCACTTGTAGGGTATTCAAATGGTCTTTCAGGTCATTTGAGGACAAAAAATTGGTAGGAGAAGGGAGGTGATTCAGCAGGAATGGTGACTGTCATTTCACAAGCTCCCTGTGGGCAGCCACAACTGTTTTTTAGAAGGACAACAACCACTATTATCACCAAAATGCATATCCCAGTACAACACATCTGACACAATGCTGATGGATTTGAGATGTTTTGGCCAAAGTCCACCAGGTGCACTTAGCTGAAGTGGCACATTGGTTCCATGACCAAACCCTAAGTGCCTGAGCTGCTCCATCCATAGTGCATCTCCCCAAGGAGCTATAAAAGCCATTTCAACTGCACTGCCACTCCAGACTCCCAAAAGCAAAATGTCTTCAAAGCCAAAACAGCATTTGCCTCTTTAAGATGGTGTCAAATTGGAGGCAACAAAGAGGGATCCAAGTTTTAGACAGAGGCTGTATCAATGCTAGCTACTAAGCCCAATCTTTACCAGGTATATTAATGGTAGAAATGGGATTTAAGCCAAGTAATTACACGGTAGAACTCCCTTCCCTCCTCTTAATATTTTGCATCTCTCTCTTCTCTAATAATCCATCAGTTCAGGCAATCTGTATGCTCAAATTAAGCAATCAAAACCAAGTCTAGCTTCAAACTGCTTACAGGTGTCTTTATGTGTTTAATGCGGTAAGCTCAAGTCAAAATTTAATGCCTTATGTGAGCTAAATACACAGAACTTCTCTTTATATTCTGAAGGCAAAAAAAGCCAAAGTAAATGTATTCTTTGCTAATACAGACTATTCACTTACTGACATCTTCGCAGTGTTAATATTTAGAATAACTTCTGGTACTTAAACACACATGGATAAAACAAAGGCAAAATGTCTTAATGGAAAAGCTGAAAACCTAACTATACAATTCATATGCCCTTACACAGGAATTTGATTTCAAGCTTGTTTTGTGTTTCTTGAAGCCCTATTCTCTTTACGATGAACGACAAAGCTGTTGGCAGGTCGGTGTGGAAGCAGGACTAAGATCTCTATAGGCTTACAGAACTGAAGCTCTATTAATGGCTGGTTTAAACAGAACCCACCTCTTGAGTGGGGTGTAAAAATTAATAATTTCTGCATAATTAAGTTCCATCAAAATAGTCTCTTAAAATACCTTTGACTATTTCTAGCTATATAAGGATTGACAGAAATTTACAAACGTTTGGAACAGAACTAGCTTCTATTGGATGTTTTCTGCGTATTTGATTTTCATCAATCTTTCCCCATGCAGAAACTAATAGAGTTCCAAGGAGACCCCAGCTAAATTTTGTAGAGATTATCTTTTTAATGCTACAATTACAGCATACACTTTCAAAAGAAAATCTTTTCTCATTTGCAATTTTCAGTAATTCAATTTGTTTCTGATTTTTGGTACCACAATTGCAACTCTTTTTGAGAACTTGATCCTTTACTTATGTAACTCATTGTGGCCTTATATGATAAAGCTAGAAATTCAGATTTTAACATTTGCATGCGTGGGTATAAAGGTTTTTCTTTCTAAATGATGAGGGTAAAGCTTATTTGTTTAGCAAGTGCATTACACAGTACACTTTTTGAACGCGATTGTACTGTATTTCTCTTCACTGTCAATCTCTAGTGACTGTTTTCTCTGTCCTCCTGTTTGATGTACGCCATATTAAAAACTGATTAGATATTATGCACAACCATGTGCGTATGTGTATGTGGTGGTGGTGGGATTGGAGATGATGAGCTGTGACTCAAGTTTAACAACTAAGAAAAGAACCATCAATGAAAACTGCTTTCTTCAATACAAAACTTCAAACGAGGGAAGCAAATGCTTTTGTAAGCCAGGAAAAGAAAGCTTATATTAAAGCAGATTAATACCCAGAACTTAATAGAGAAAAAAATGCCCATTGAAATTCATGCAAGGAAACAGAGTGCTATGGCAAGTATAAGAGAAAAATACAATAGTTTAAAGCACAGAGCTACATACAAGAATGCAGAACTGTTTTGTTGCCTTGTCAAAATATAAAAAACATTATGGCCATACTAAAGTCAAAATACAATGGAAGACCAAAGGAGCAAACATGCACTGCCAGGCTTCTTTTGGGAGCTCTTGAATACTATGTAAAAAACACCGGGTTGACTGTTAAACAGATTTAAAAAAGCAGTCCAAGGCAGGAACTAATTTTTACAACATCCTATGAAAACTGAAACGACTACAGAAACACTGATTTAAGACATATATACATAGTATATTTCTTTTCACGGAACTTGTTTTATCTCCTCCCTCCCTCCCTAAAAATTCTGTGTTTCTCCAAGCACTCTCCAGGCAGCTCTGTTGAATACAAAACCCTGAAAACTCTACCTTGGTGTCATGACGTATTGCTGAAATTGGGGTGACTTCCTCTGCTCTCTTCTTTTTGCCCTCTTCATCATCTTTCTCCTCTTCTGTCTTTTTCTCTGGAGTCACAGTGGTTATCAAGTTGGTCTGAGAGATGCCCTTTGTTGTGGCGTACTGGCCAGTACCAACCTCTGCAGCAGACACAGAATCCTTCATGTACATTTCATGGTTTTCATTCACAGATGCTAAAAGCAAATATTTAAAGAGGGAAAGTCTGAAATAGCTTTAGCTGAGAAGCTGCATAAAATTAAAAAAGCTGGTTTAGAAAAACATTTGAGATAATGCTGAAAACACAAATATGTCATGTTTCAGAAAACCAGAAGCATTTAAATAAATGATTTACTTGAAATAAAGCTCGTAGCTTTTATATGCATAAACAGATTTTATGGATGTGTATACACACATTACTGTAGCTAATGTGTGCATTACACAGTTGTTAAATGTTAGCAAGCCATTTAAAGTACTACTGTAGTAAAACACTAGAAAAAAAATTCAATGCATTGCCACAGTTATCAGGCAGGAAACATAAGGAGAACCGGCTATGACATCAGCCATGGGGGTGGAAGAGATGTTTTTTTTAAATCTGTCAGAATATAACAATGCGGATCAAATGCACAGTTAGTAAGGTGCTGCATTATAGAAAATGACAATATTCATGTAACACAGGCATAATACCTGAGAAAAAATGAAATGTGATCCTTGTATTACTGAGTACTAAAGTCTGCCAGTTAGGTGAGCTCATTATCCTAAAAAATTCTGAGAAGCGATATCATTCAATTCAGTGGACCAGTCTTCAATAATTCAGCAAACTTAGAAATATATAAATAATTTTGAAATAAATGTACATTTATACATAGAATGTAATAAAAACTTCAACAGACCCTGCTCCTGAATATTGTGTAACTAATTTCTAAGCCAATAAGATTATTCAAATTTATGAAGTTCCTTGCATCTGTAACAAATGACAGCCTGGATCACAGTATAATCACAGTGCAGAATGTTACAGTCACATCTGCATCATAGTAACGATGCTGGTAAAGAAACTGTAAGCACTGATTAAAAAAACACCTCTTTCCCCCATTTGCACGTAGGCCAATTAACATCACAAAATCCCTGCAGAGTCTAACAAATGCTGGGAAAAGCATTTCAGGTATCTTGTCTCTTGGGAATGCGCTTAGGAGGTGGGAGAAAGCAAAGGGAGTAGAGGGAGACATCTTGCTTAGATGTTACAAACAAAATAACGCAGAAGGATAATTTCTGCTTTGAAACACATGCACAGCAATCAGGTCACCAGTTGCTTGGTAACGAGCAAGAAGCGCATCAGTATTAGAAGATTCCAAAATAATTAATGACAAGCAGCACCTTTAGGGGGAGAGAAAAAGGTTTGTCACTTGTACTTTTAAATCAAAGCTTCTCTCCCTCCCCACCACCAACTATACTCATTGCAATTTGTGATATTCTGCAGGAGAATTCACCTTTTTTTCAATCTGTAATGATTCTGAATTTAGACTCGGTCTTTTTTCTAAAAAAATAAGTTGCAAAACTACAACCCCTTTTTACTCAACAGCTGATAACAGTAACAGCTGATGGAAGTCGCTGATACTCTGAATCACATGTTGATTTAACCTAAGCAAGCAGCAGAACCTTGACCTCCACAAACCAAGGATAAAGAGAGAAAGGACATGGTTTTAAGCTGCGTGTTACTCTGTCTCATACCTTCAAAAGTAATGTACAAAAAAAGTCTTTTAGAGCTCATCCGACTAGGACATGAGGTAATTGGAAGCAAGTGTTATTACTCAAGAGAAATAATTAATTTCTGAATTGCATCAAGCTTAAGTCAAAACCTCCATAGGAAAAAAAGATAGATTTAACCAAAACCCAAAGAGTCACTCATGCAAACCCAGAAAAAGTGTTGACGCCTGAATTTCTTGGGCAGACAGGTCCAGTCATCCTGTTGCTCCCCAAAGCAGGGAAATGGTCTACAGGTGTGAGACGAAGGAGAGAAGCTCTGTGATGAGTGGGCTCCCAAGGACATCCTCTAGGGAAACACTTTGTAAGGACTACAGCAGTACATTTAGCATGGAATTTCTCTGCATCCTCCCCTACCCCTGCACTGAACGCGCAGGTACTCACAGCCTCTACTCAGCTGAAGCTCAAGGAGATGATACGACAAGAGGTTCATATTTAACCTAGAGCAGTGACCACTGTAACAGTAGCTTTTGACAAACTCAGCTGAGAGGACCTTACCACCATCTAAGCTGCGAGACATGGTGTAACGTTTACTAGAAGACCGCTCAAAGTAAGGTGCAGGACGGTCTATGAGGGCACTGGCTCTTCTCGTCTGGGCCTGCGTCCGACCGCTGTAGCGAAACTTGGAGCCCAGCGTAAGGAACTTCTTTGGAGGCGCTTCAGGCAGCAGGAGCCTAAAACACACCAAGTAGTACACCTGTTACTCCCCCTCCTCCAAAATCAGTCCACTCTTTCTGCAGAGGAGAGAAGACGACTGCTGGGTATCACTCTCCATCGTAACCTGTGCCTCACCGGTCTGCAGCTAAAAGGGAATCAAAGGATTGCCCCTCATACAGCATGACAAAACCATTTAGCTAATGCATTTGAAGATTTGAGTTCTTCCTAATAGTCAAGAATCACTCAGCTCCTTCCTGCTTGAAAATCAGATTTATTATCTTCTAATCACCAAAACTAAATACAAGGTGTTCCTTGTACCAGGAACCCTCATTGTGCTGAAATACTTTTACTTCAAATTTAACATGGTGCTGCTATGCTGAGGATAGGGCCAGAACAGATTTCCAGTGAATGCCAGGCAGTACTCATTCACAGGGTTGCAGACATTTTTCAGGTTAGAGCTTTCCCACCCTCTGCATTTTGGCCACGGGGGAGCTGGTTGAAGAAGCCATTCTCCTGCTACGGAGTTTATGCTTCAGACATTGATTTTTCATTAAAAAGCAGAAAATACACCAAAAATGCACACCATATCTCTTTAGATCTTTTGCTGCTAAGACTGCATTTCATACGAACATACAGACAGCCTGAACCAACAGTTTTAGGAAAGGAGAGAAATTCTTCAGTCCTCCCAAACATCCGCCAGAGGGGGTTTTTAAGCACCAAACACCCTTTCAAGTTGTTGAAAATCTCACTCTTTTGGGTTTCCTTTGTTAAGTATCTCTGATGACTATCTTAGCACAAACTGATTACAGCATTTATTCCACTATCCCAAACTTTTCTTGGGTCTTCTTAGAAGTCAAAAAATAGCTGCAAAATTCCACAGTAATCCAAAAATTACAGCTATGGATTGGGTATTTTAGGTGACTAAAAAATAAACTACCTACTACTGTCTGTACTTTCATATGTAATTAAATAAAAATATCCTTTTTCTTTTTAGATTCTTACCCACATCCCCCAGCAATCTTCCATGTAAGTTGTTCTCCCTATTCAAGTTTATGTGCAGAAGTGCAGCAGTCCTTCATCCTTTTAATTATAGTCGCTGATAATACCACGGCACAGATAAAGCAAAATGATTAATTAGGACCATATGGTGATTTTTAAGCAGTATCTTTCTAAAATAGTACGAATAATTTGGGAGAAACATTTCAAATTTTGAAGAAGCAACAACCTTCCCTTGTCTGCTCAGAGGTACCTCATGATCAAAAAGACAATTTGATTCAAAGGGTTTTGTCTCTGCTGACAAAATTGATCTTTTCTGTTGCTTTTTATATCACACCTTTAGGAAAAGAAATCAACATACCTGAAAAATGTATGGTGTTCAACACACACTTTCCATAAGCGCTTTGCAGCACGATGATTTGGCAACTTAAACCCAATAGTGCTTTCAAACTGCTCAAACTAGGTAGGAAAAAAGAATAAGTACGTTTTTGATGCTGTGCATCTATTTTTAGACAGTGTACACAGGTTCATCTTCATTTCCTCTGTCTGTATCATCTCATTGCAAGGGTGAACATATATGCTCATGTATATAACCACATATATTCTACAGATTACTGTCTGGGAAAGAAGCTGAGTGATAATAAATGGCAACCTTTGAGGATCATTTTTGTGGGAAAACACTGGTAATGAGCAGGAGGTTTTTTATAGTGACAGTGATGTCTTATACCCCACAGTAACAAAGAGATCAGTTAAGACTTGGAAGACTTCTGAGAAAAACATCACTAAGTTTTTTAACGCTGTTGATTTAATTTTACCAGTTTAAACTACAGTGGGAAGCCTGGTAATATCTGAGGGGAGCAATAGTCCCTAGGGACTGATTTGGCCTCACATAGCCTTAGACTAAGGAGATTTATAGTGAAAGAACTACAGTTAGTAAATCACAGTGGTTATAGCTAATTTATCTGCTGAGGAGGATGAGGCAAAGACAGGTAATTGAAAAGAGTTGTCTGGGGATACTAAGACACCTTTTTAGATTGTGCTGCAAACTTATATATTTCAGATGCAGAAGCTGTTCCAGCTACAACTACTGTAACATGATGATGGCTACATGCAGATAGCTGAGTAGGTGAAACAGAGTTGCTGTGATGGTGGAAAGGTAGGCAGAAGGGCGCTTGTAAGAAAGCCTGCTTCCCTATGGAAGCTGATAGAGAAACAAGGCAGGAAACAGCAAAATAATAAAGATGACACATGGGATGGTGAATCACATTACCATCAAATGTAATTTGCAAAGAGGCTGCATTGATTATTTTATATATGGAACTATGACCTGGTCACAGGACACTATATACTAAGGCCAGCAGAGCATTGGTGGTGGAGAGCTTCAGTGCAGGCGCTGGGAACATCAGTAGCTGTTCATTTGGTTTTTTTAAATCAGACTCAAGACTGGGAATTTGGTTACTAAAGCCGTGTCTGCTGATAGGCAGGAGATGTAGTTTTGTGGATTTTAGTTTAGGACTCTAAAAGAGGCTGAGGTTCAGGGGTGGGGGACCCCAGCAGATTTCCCAGGTCAATGATGAATCATTGGCTCAGGACCCCTGTCTGCCACGCTGCATTAAGGGATAAATGCCAGCCTTCATCTAGGTGATTTCTGTCCTGGTATACAGCCCCACACTCTAAACGGATATGGGGTTTTCATCTATCACAGATCAATTATTGTACCAGCATTTAAAATGGAAATACTCCTTCACCTGTAATGATCCTGAATTTCTCCTGGGATTTTTCCTAAAAGTAATCATCTTACAGGCCAGGCTGGATGGCGCTTTGAACAACCTGGTCTAGTGGAAGGTGTCCCTGCCCACGGCAGGGTGGTTGGAACTAGATGATCGTTAAGGTCCCTTCCAACCCAAACCATTCCATGATTCCATGATTTCTGGGTGAGCGCATGCTCGGCCCGTGAGGTCGGTATTTGCTACGCATCCGGCTGAGCCACGAGAGGGCACTCGCTGTACGAGGTTTCACATCCCCTTCTCCAGAGCCAGAAGGCAGGCTCCGGTGGGCCTGGCAGGGCTAATGTGTTGAGGTTACCAAAAATGCTGAATGACGGATGCTTGACTCTCTTTTACCAGTTTCTGGATCTCTGCTCCCACTCAAAGTGTACTAGTATGATATGTTTATGAAGTTTGGTATGGCCTGTCTACATCTCTTGGTAAGATAAATAGATGCCAATTTAATATACAACATGACAGAGGATAACAAGCTCTCCATGAATAAGAAAGATGTTACTTAAATTCCCAAAGTATTCATAACAGGGATGAGCTTTTTACGTGCAGATAGCCGTATTTATTCTTTATGTTAGTTAATGGATGCAAACATAAAAATACCAAAGAAGTTTTTTTTAACCAGTATTTTAAAGAAAGTATGTACCTTATCTTTCCTAAGAAAATCAGCATAAATTAAAAAAACATAAATGGAGAGGAATGTTCAAGGCTTGTAAGACATGAAAAATCAACAAATCAATGAGAACTCAGTTCTTTTCAAGAGGTTCATTCACTAAAGAGTATCAGGATGCCCTTACCTCCCCTGGTCGGATTTTTATGTAGAAGTTGTTCCTCTTGTAGGAAATTTTCAGAACCTTTGGCCACGCAAATCTATTTATTCTGAGTCTGTCTCGATATATTAAAAGTCCACTTGCACAGACTCCTAGCATGATTTCCACTCCTTCGGAATCCTGAAAAAGCAAGCAATGTACTTTGTTGAGTATTCCTATCCTTGCATCCTACAGCACTACAGAGTCCTGTATCCTGTGTTTCTATCTGAGCTATGTCTTTTTAATGCATCAGCTGTAGTGACCTGATTTCTGAGTGCTACCCTACTCACTGAATGCATTCATGCAAGTAATAGTAAGGTTGGGCAGGGTGAAAGAAACTGAGGGCTGCCAATGTTTCCTTATATTTTAGAAAGACTCTAAAAACAGGAGGGAAATTTTGGATGTTATTAAAAGAATTGTGTCAGCCATATATCAAAATTGTATTAGCATAATAAAAAAGGGTTATTAGCATAAATACCAGATCGAAAGTAAGTAGGACAGCATAAAAATTTACGTCTCCTGGTATCACTCATCTCCATGACTAAATCTGGTAAATCCCTAGAAAGGATTTTCTTCTGTAGTTTGCTCATCTTGGCTTTAGTAGGTTTGCTAGTTTCTTTAACACTGTTGTGTGTATGCTCAGTAATTTAACTTTGAAATGCCCAGTGGGCAGAAAGTTGGGTATTTGGAACAGAAAAGATTCTTTTTTAAAGTATGGGGCTGTGCCTATGCTATAACCTACATTTGACAGGGAAGATGTAGGTCAAACACATTAGTACTACAGAAGATTTGTCTACAATCTTATTAGAATACACCCATAAATATGTATTTTTAAAATAAGAAATATACATTTCTTTTTCCTTTAGAACTCTTCAAATAGTCTAAACCAAATCTTCACTGGTTTCTATCACTGTTGGTTTTATTTAGCTAAGTACTAGTAGTGCTGGAGAAAACAAAAATCCACCTTAAAGCACTGACTGCACTAAAGCACTTGAGGAATTATTTTAAAACAACTTAAAGTCACAAAAACCTGACAGCAGAAGCTATGAAGATGTCAGTCTATGATAATCATGAAATGAATTCATAATTTTCATCTGGTTTTCCCAACCAGTCATCTTTTAAGCACATGATGAAAATCTGATTATATTTTAAAATGAACACAAAGGTACACGTGGTCAGTCATGATGAAAAGATTATGGCACAGCTTGAAATAATAATAGAAAAAAAAAATTTAAAAATCACAACATAGAAATAGTGCCACAAAGTCACTCCAGTGTTAGAGAATACACCAATAGAGGATATGTGTTCCAACAATTATAGTATCATAACCTAAAACCAGATTTTTTCTAAATAAAGCTCTTGTGTGATATTACTGTCAAGTACTGCAGAAGAGACAAAGCTAATTTTTTTCAGTACTTCAGTTTCAGTTTCCTAAGCAAAGAGTAACGCCGAAATACAGTGACCAGATTCTAAAAAAGAAAGTCTCATTGCCAGTAATCCCACTGCCTGGTGAATGCCAGAAATGCCTGTCAGCCCATACATGGCACATAGCTGCAGGTGCAAGGGGTTCCTTCTTTTGATATGCTTTTTCAAAAACTTTTTGAGAAATGCCTTCCTCCCTTTTCTCCACCTTCACCACGGATCTACATCTGTTTAAGACTTCTGTTTCTTGTCGGTGTCAGGGACTGGTTTTCAATGTGATACTACAGGTAAAATGAAACTGAGTAAAAGAATTTGGTTTTTTTTTCAGGAGAGATGTGGTTACATGGAACAGAAAACTGTTAGCTGTGACATCTGAGGCATGAAATGCTGAGCTGCACATCCCTGCAGCTCCGCATACAAACTGGGGGCTACCTCAGAATGGTGTTAGCCCAGAGGATAAATCTGTCTATTTTAACATATTTTTTATTGCAGCCTTGCACTGGATAACTGAGCACTAGTTTTAACAGCAGCTGGTGAGTCCAGCATCTGTCTAACACCTAATATATTGGCACAGCCCTAATGAATTGACATTTACATGAAGACATTTGCCACAGCATGACTTCCAAAAGGCATCCACAGAGATGCTTGTCCCCTAGCCTGACACCACCAGATCTTGCTGGCACACCTAATTAAAACTAAACATGACTTCTCATGCAGAGTCTACCTTTTCCACCTCCAGCTCAGTTTCCAGGATTATTGTTGGGTTTCCAGACACAATCTGGATACCACTGTAGCTTTTTTAAATTAAGAGAATCACTTTAGAGAGAGATTGGCTTGTCTACCAACTTCTCTTGCTCTGAGTCTTTCCATTTGAAAAAAAAAAAAAGAATAGGAAACCAGGGTACTAGGTTTTTTTTTCAGAAAAGAATAAATAAAATGGTTATCTTAGAATATCCTATCTTAAACTTCACAGCCTTTCTCCAATATTCTGTAAATAATACTTAATGCTATGTTATGTTATTTTCAGTAACAAAGCCTGAACAGGAAATATTTAGAACAGGAATCCACTTTGTTGTTGGTTTGTGGGTATCTTGGTGTTGGAAAAAAGATAACAAGTGACATTTGCCTATCCATTTCTCTCTGCTCTGAGTGTGCCTCAAGATTTTGTGCCTATCTGCAAGACACAGGGAAGGCAGTAGACTGCAGCCCATTGAGCTGTACTCAGATTTTTCATTTTCACTGAAGGCAATAAACAGAACACAAAAGATTGCCTTGAATTCTCTAACACACATGCACAGCTCCTATGAAATGCCCCAGGGACACAGTTGCAGGCTCTTTCAAGATCCAAGCTGCAAATTTATCTCAGTTCTTGAAAGGATCTGCTGCAGTGCAAAAACAGGCTCACAATAATTTGACCTTTACAGAAAATGCAGTGCTCTCCACAGGGCAGAATTCTTTGGTTCAATACTCATTTGCCAAGGATGCTCGCTAATCTCAAAAATGTTAAAATCCATTAGTCTTACTTTGAAGAGTGAAAAAAAAATAGTAATTATTTATTTGGGAAAAAAAAAACCAACCCAAACCCAAAAGTCAGACAACCAACACAAGGCTAGTAGCTGGCTCTCTCAAGCCACAATAAGAATGACCACGTTTTATTCATAACTTAACCTGCTGATGATTAGAGAATCTACTTGATCATGGGAGAATGCTTCCAGGAGAATTACTGCCCTTCCTGTCAACCGCGATGACCACACTTCAGAAGAGAGACAAGATGCTGTCTCCCCATTACCATCAATCTGATTAGGTTTCCAGCCCAGCTAAATAATTGTTTGTAAGTTCTCTGCAGCATTAGAAATTATCTGCTTATCTAGTTAAGATAGCATAGTTGGCCTTATTAAATTGAAAAATGTAGCTGAATGAAATGACAACTGATCACTCTCTGGACAGCTTCTAATATCCTTCCTCATTACTACATCCATTCAATATTTTCCCCAAGGATTTGGTTGTTTAATCAACATGAAAGTTGATGTGCTTTGAATCTACAGGCTAAATTATGTTACAGTTACAAGATATATTTATGCTTATCCCATGAGTCACCTTTCCTCATGCTGACACATGATTTATCCCAAAAAAACTCCCATCTCAAAAATACAAGAAAGAATAAATCAGGGAGTCCATGCAGATTAAAGTACCATGTCACAGGAGAAATGTGACCCATGAAAGAACCGAAGTACCTACCTTGGCATGATGGAGATCTACTCCATACATTGATAGTTTTTTGGCATTCTCCAGGAAATGCATCTCAGCTTCTGCAGGTGTCATTCCCCTGAGGAAATGCAACCAGTTCTAGCATAAATGTTAAGGAAATAAATCCAAAACAAAATCCAGCAGCTGGAAAACATTTTCAGCCTGTCAGAAGTACAGCCATACCCCTTAGGCAGCTGGGTACCTACCAGAGTCAAAGATCTGATGCAGACCCTGTTAACTTTCACATTGCAAAGCTCTTCTCTATCCAAAGACACAGAGAGGAGTCTTATCAGAAAAAATATTAAGTGTACCACAGCAGATTTTAATATCTCGTGATGCACCAGGATGGTACCTGAAGAAGCAGGCTAGAGCTCACATTGCTGCCCTCTGCTTACCTGTGGCTCTTGTGCAGCTCAATCACTTTGTCCTCCAGCTCTTTCGTGTGATTCGGGGCAAAGCGAAATTCGCTGATGTAGTCGCTGCCGTATTCATCCGGGTCGTAGTCCCCGAGCTCCGACTGCACAGTGTAAGAGCCCAGCAGGGCCAGTGTGACGAACGAGCAGGGCAGCCGACCCGACACAATGTCATCTCTCAGCTGCAAACAGAGGTAGTACCTGCAACAGAGCAGCAAGGCGGCTCAGACAGTGCTCCTCCACCTTTGCCCTCAGAGAAGCACCACTCGAGCACTGTCAAGAGGTCTCAGTTCTGCTAGTAATTTGCAGACAGTTCCCAAGCCCCAAGTTTTTCAGGTATTTACAAGGACAATAATAATTTTGTTAAAAAAAAAAAAATCCCAAACAACCAATAAGAACTTCAAAACCAAAACACCAAGCTTTTGCCTAATTTATCAGTAGCAACACCTAGTTTACCGTTAGACAGCAGCATGGAGATCTCTTAATAAAATAGGTTATTACTTTGTTTAGTGACATAAATGGAGAAATACCCATTAAACATATTAGATTTCTATCACAAATCACTAAGACATAAATCTACCTGATAATTCTTTTCTTTAAGAAAATAATTAAATTATAGTTATATAAAAATATAATTATAATTAAATTTTTCTTTAAAAAATAATTAGAAACCTCATATACTGTTCATTAATGTGTAGCTGACCTCTAAGTAATTCAAAAAACATAAGCTGTCTCTTTAGTAAACTGTTGTGCTTTCTCAAAAATTCATTTAAACAGTAAATGTTGCTAAAAACACAGAGATAAGCAGTGCAAGGGATCACTAGATAGAGGAAAACAGAAAATAATGTGGAGAACACTGGTTTGGTGGCAAAGGCAGAGTTACTGGGGGAAATTTGAGAGTGACAAGAGGAAAAAAGCAATCCTTTCCTTTTGAAGTCCTCTGTTCAAATGTGAACTCTTGGCATACTATTTCTGCACAGTACCCACCACAGGGAACCTCTGATCTAGGCCAAAGGCTTTGTGCTGCCTTAAAAGCAACAAGCAAGTCCATAAAGCATTAAAGGTTAAACACATCCACAGGTTTCAAAATGTTGAAACAGGCTAGAGAACAATTAGTTGATGGCACAAAACTTCTCATGGCTCAAAGCTTTTGTGCCTTACACCAAGGAGTAAATCAGGTGAGGGTTCTTTTGGTTGCAGTTGCAATCTGAATACAAAAACAGAGAGCAGAGGTGTAGATTGCAAAACTAAGCGACTTGGAGAGCAGGGAGCAGCCATTCATTACCGTCGTATTCTCTATTCCATGCACATCAATTGCTTACTTTGTCAAATGACACGCAAAATTTACATGCATGCTTATTCTTATCCATTCTGGTTTCAGCTGGGGTTTGGGATTCAGTATGGTGCTTAAACCACAGCATCATCTCACTTCTTTTCTTTCACAGATATGATTTTACTTAAAATAATAACTCATTACTACTGGCAAAAATGGGCATCAGGCATCTTTGTGAAAATTAAAATCAACTCCCAGGAATATGTGTATTGAAAAAGCTGGGGTTTAGAGTTAAATTAAACAAAAGTCTTCATAGCTCCAAAGATAGACACTGTTCATACTGTCGTTTCTGCCAAAGCCTTGCATATTTTCCATAAGCTCATATGAGAAAGAAAGACAATGGGAACATAAAACATTCTTTTCTTGGATAATTACAGTGTAAGTGCTACTAGGAACAGCTTTTAAGCCCCTCCTAGAAAGGTATTTAATGTTTAAAATACCTGGTAATATCTTCAGATAGCTGGGCAGGATCTGGAGGGTAGAATTTCACATTAAATGCAAACTGCCAAGCACCACCTGGAAAAGAACACAGATTGACTGAAAGTACACTGTAAGTGCAAACAAAGATGCTCATGCTGTTCAATCACCAACAGACTTAAAAATATCCCAGCCAAGCAATTAATAAGAACAGGATTTAGTATCTTTTTCCCACACTTCACACTGAAGACACTGTATTAGATCAGATTTTACAGCTCTTTTCTTATTTAGTAAGATTGCCACTGAAGCGAGGACTCTAAGGGAGCAGTAATTTATTACCAATATTAAAAAAACCCTCAATCTGAAAACCAGGTTTATTGAAAATAACCACCTGAAAACACAGTCTATATAAGCTTTAAAAAACAAAAACTCAAATCAGAGGTACTGAAAACACCACAATTTAAGAGTACAAATGGGCTCTGGGGCACGGTTATGTGCCAAGGTCTAGCTGCCCAAACCAGCTCACAACATCCTCTCAGAGTGCTGCCTCAGCACATAGCTCCTTTCTTCAGCAGACATAAATTGTGCAGACAAAGCTGCAAGGACAAACACAGAAAGCATGACTGAAAAAAAGTATGTAGCACTAGGGAATTCTTCTTGACTTATTTCAGTAAGTTTAGGTGACCCATGTGATGGATACCGGTTTGTACCACCACAGTTGGTGAAATTATTTCTGGAGTGTTAGCTTTAAATGCTGTAAAGAAGGAATATCAAGATTTTAAAAAGAGTTGAACACGGTACGTAAATATAGAAGCTATTCTGAAAAAAGGGTCAGGTTACTCTAGTGCATGTCTTGAATGCAAATAAAAAGCAATAACAAAACCCCAAACCACAAGCAACAAGGTGGTTTTACAGTAACAAGACGTTTCACCAAGGCCTCTGTTCTGGGATATACCCCTCATATCTACTTCTACCACAAAAAATACAGTCCAGAAACCAGATGCAAAGTAATGTCACTTCTCTATTCTGAAATGCACTGGTGTCAAAGGACAAATCTAACTAGAAATAAATATCCCTTTCGAAAAATCCATATTGGCCATGTAACAAGAAAGTGCTCAGAAACACTGTGAAAATTAAGACTTTTTCTTATAAACCTGACACAGGGTAGGGCTTTCCCATGATCTTCCATTCAGGGGCATGTTGTGCCTAGGTACCTCCTAAAGTATATTGAAGGTTTGAAGGGGTTTGAAGGTATATCTGGTGCACTCTCTAGCAGGATAGCTTATATGCTGGGCAGATCTACTCGCCCAGAAATACTGTATAGTTCTCCAAATTGGGTGTTTGGGAGCATTTATTTAGAGACAATAGGGAAATTTCATTCTATGCAAACCCCCATTCACTTCGATGATGCACACACCTGAGAAAATAGGCTCATATGTTCAAGGCCAGGTTGGATGGGGCATTGAGAAACCTGGTCTATGGCAGGGGTTCAAACTAAGATGATCCTTAAGGTCCCTTCCAACCCAAACCATTCTATGAGTGTGCAAGAAGAGTTTTGATGTTTATCATCAGGACTTCAGCTACTTGTAAGACTTTTGGAGTCCTTGATTTTAGGAACTTTTCTGTTTTCTTGGGCCATAAAAGCTGGTAAAGGAAGATTTGGCTGGCAGCGAGGATGGGGCATGGTCCCACCTGGAAATGGACCAGACCCAAGGTGGGAGTGCAGCCAGTGGGTGGCACCTGGTCCCTTAACAGATGGAAGGGGCCCATAAACCTATTCCTTGGCACACATCAAAGAAATCAAATCTATGATAAAGCCTATCATATAGCACAGATGGTTAAGATACTACAGTAAGAGGCCTTCACCTCACACAGGGTTCTAAATAAAACCTAACGTTGTGCAAGTTAGTGGGTGCAAAGAAGAGTCACGCACATGGCCCTTTCTCACCACTGGGATGAAATCCCTGTGGTCTGCAGTGTGGTACAAGTGGTGTACAACTCAATCAGGGTTTAGCAGGACTATATATATATATGTTTGGAAAGCATCATGGGTAACAGCACTACTTTTCACCATTGTCCTGTTCCAAAATTCTGGGGTGAATTGTACAAGCAAATTATTGCTGTCATCTTCTGCAAATACAACTGTCCACTGCCTCAAGTACAGGACAAGACTCTTGTGCCCTGGTTAATCTCCCGCTGTCACAACCTTTCATTGTCTATTTCATGGCTTGGGAACATATTAAATGCATTTCAAATCTGTGGTAGGGAGCTGAGCTGCTTTTCTTGTACTGAGCAGTAGCATAACCTGATTCATCAAGGTCTAAAGCACCTTCCTCTCCAGATACATCTTCTCGTGAGATTTAGAAAAGGTAAATTTTCATCACTTTGTATTGCAGATCACTTACCTGTAATGAAAATACTACTGGAGGAAAGGTGAGGTTGTTCATAGTAAGTGGGGAAATTTTCCAGTGTAAATTAACCTTTTGAATCTTGGAGAGGGAAAGGATTCACTTGCCAGGCCTGGTCCAACAAATGTGAACTACCAGATACATTTGCTTGTAAAAGCAAAAGTGTTCGAAGAAATAATTTACAACATGTGCAAAGAAAAAAAAAAAACCAAAAAACTGAGCTTTCCTGCACATAGAAATCACGCACATAAAATATGGTCAAGTTTTAAAACTGAGGGGAAGAAAAGAAAGGCAGGTCAAATTTTGAACCTAGCAGTCTCAACAAGGCTTTCCTTTGAGAGGTTTTTGAATTTCTAATGTAGCAGACATCTAGTTTTAACAACCAAGATTTTTAAAAGATTCATGTGAATCAGAAAATTGACTGTTTCTCCGTGAGTTTCATGGTCATTTTAGGAGCAAAGATCAAGCTTCTGAAATGCAGACAGGAAAGATATTTTAGGTAGAATGCTATCTTTGCATGAGTGAAATATTTCAGTACGAGGCATGAGTAGTGTTCCTGGATACGATATAAATATCAGTAACACAAGAAATAATTCATATACATGGCCTAGTCCCTAAGGTTACATTGCTTAATGTCAAACCTCGGGTTTTTGCATCTATGCAAATGTCAAGTTGTTTTCAGCAATGCATGTTCATTTGTTACGAGCCTCAGTAACCACTCACACTCATTATGGGGTAAAACATCTAAAAGATGCAGGTAATTCTTTTGCCAAAGACTTGGGACTGGATAAAAAGATGATTGTGAAATAAGCTTTTTTGCCATAGGGAGACATGTAAAAGCGGACAAGAATAACAAACTTACTTCGGATCTGCTTCTTGATTTCCTTGGCAGGGTCCAACCAATTCTGCAAAGAAAATGTTTCCTTTTTTCAATTTGAATTAGAAAACACAACAAACATTATTTTTAAAACAGTGCTATGAGTCGAAGCTAGAACACGCAAAGGTCTGCCACCCCTTTCTCCTTGGAGCAGCAGTAGGCTGGGATAACACTACCTTTCATGATGTGGCCCTGAGTAGAAGTAGGATTTTTATTAACCTTCCCAGACATTGAGGGGCTAAATGGTTTGAAATAAAAGAGTAAAAAAATAGAAACTGGTAAAGTGAATCCACAGAAATCTTTTTCCAGAGTATCTTCTGGAAAAACTAAATTTCTAGAAACTTGTTACAACTGGTTGCTTGGTTAATTTTTTTCTCTAATCCTGGAAAGGCTGAAAAGTCTTGCTAGATGATAAGCAAGTGCAGAGGAGGGCACCACCCCATTTGCAAACCAATGTGGGCATGAGGGGCTTTTCCAAGGAAACCAGAGGCAGAACCACAGCACCTTTGCCCCCATCCATACCATGCAAAGCCCAGTGACTATGCAAGATAAAAACCCTTCTGAGGAGATGGGGAGTTATCACAGTGATGTGTTAGTACTCTGTGGACGCCAAGGAGCAGATGAAAATTCCTCTGGGTGAGGTACATAACAGCTTGGCGTCTCTTAGTGCCACTGCTGCCTTGACCTCTAACAGAATCAAATTAATACTTAAAATGCATAACAGCCCAGAACAAAAAGTTTGCCTCCCCTAGGAAAGTTTCACTTTCTCCAAAGAAAGACAAACAAATGTATCGGAGAAACAAAAAACCACTAAAGAAATATCAAACAAGCAGAACACAACAATCCCTCCCCAACAAAAACAACCAGTTTGCAGCTGTCCAAACCTGGTCTGTGGTGCAAAACATGAGCCTGAAGAACTCCAGCTATTGCTGAGGACAAAAGCACACTATGTACCACAAAATTAAAGATGCATCAGCATTTCTGTTTACAAAGATGTCATATGATGTGGGCACATATGTTGTCCGGTTGGAAGTTATGTAGCAGAGGATGGAGGTGAATTGCTAAGTACTTTGACATTAAAAATATATGTTCTTGATCAATAAATGTGGTGGCAGGCAGTTATTCTTTTAACTGTTTAGTTCTGTAAAGTAAATGGTGACCTACAAATGTTTAGTGCTTCTAAACCAAGTGTTAATAATAAATCCATTCTTCTCTTTCCAGTACATGAAAGCACACCTATCTGGAAATGAACTTAGACATCTGCCTAGCTTTTATAAAAACTCAAAACTAAGCATATGTTAAAGTGTTATCTTGCACTGACATGGACCAAGTATCTGCTTAAGTGATTTTCTGAATCAGAAACAAAGAAGTCCATAAAGAAAGGGGGAAAGAGAGACAAAAAGACTGACTTTTTTTGTATCATATATAATTGAAACAAACGGAAGTCTAGAAAATACAACTGTTGCTCCCACAAGACCCAAGCAGCTAAAAAAGTAGTAAGAGCTCCAGCTCCATCAGGGAAGACCTTTCAGGCCACGTAAAGCAAAAACAGCTTCACCTAGTGAGCTCTGCTGGGCTATTGCATATATTGCTAAGAAGTTTTGCACTGTTTCAAAATATTTATCTTAAAATGCCAAAATCGCACAGCATATTTTAAATTATCTTTGATACTCTCTCTTTCCCTGTAACAATATATATACGTATCACCTGCACACTAGATAATCTTTGACACAGCTTATTTCATACTAAAGTTGAGATGCAGACAAGCAGAATGTGATTCACTCTTGCTACCAACTGCTTCTGAAGACTAATGTCTTTAGTCAAAGCAACAATAATGCTAAGATAAAGAAAGTCAAGGCTTGGAGCCTTACTTTATCTTAGCAGTTAGCAGGAGCAGTCAATCATCTCCTGCTTATCTGTGTCCCAACCACAGTATTATTAAGCTATATTTTAGTATCATATATTTAGCAGTGTATCTCTGAATGTCAATCTGACTTTCATCTATGGCAGTAAAGGAATAAATTATACTAGAAAGAGAACCAACTGTATGATTAACTTCTTTCATGTCATAAACAGCCAAAACAGAGGGAAGCCAGGGAAACACAGGAGATGCTTTTATGAAGTAGAGTGAGTTACAAAAAACAATAGCTCAAACTATGTCTATGGAACCTGGTAAGGAAGATAAAACCAACTTCTGGATTGTTGCAACTGACTGGGGAGTCTCTCAGTGAGCTCTGGTGTTCGCAGGCCAAAGGTCAGCTGCAGCTCTGTGGGTTACCTTTTGGTTTTCTGTGTCTCTGTATGTTAGTCCAAAGTAGTCTTTTTCCAAAAGGTTCAGATGCTCACACACTTTGTCGAATAGCACTTGACCTCTGGAACGTTTCTGTAGGAAATGAACAGAAAACAAAACAAAAAATATTACATTTGCAAAATAACATAATAAAGCATTAAAATAGCACGTCTTCTGTCAAATCAATAACTTCAAAATCATTCAATTCAATGCATCCATCTTTCTAACCCATTGACCTGGAGCTTCATAGGAAGCTGCTGAATGGGGCAAATCCTTTTTCCCTAAAAGCTCAAGTCTTCTTGCAGAGTTAAAAGTAAGTCACACATGTCATGTTTCAAGTCTCAATAGAAGATCTCTCCTGTCTTTCAGAAACTGCAACTCCAAGGGCATGCTAAGGTCATATCTCTGCAAAACCAGAGCAATTCTTTGTGTGCAAACAGCAACAAACAGCAGCACAAAATATTCCTGCTGTGACTGCAGCAGGGTGGCAATCCACTGGAGATAAAACCAAAAATGGAGATACTTTTTTCTTCGGTAACAACGTGGACTGATTCCAGGACTCATTTTTGTCTAATATACACGGAAATGTGATTGCACCATCTACTGAAATCATGGAAAGAGCCTAGTATCTAACTGGGAATGCAGCTGGGTAAGAAAGAAGCTTCCCATTGTCCCACTAACCCTCTTTACTGCTGACATGTTAGATGAGAAGATATCTGTCAACAGCCAGAGCCCTTAGCAGAAGCTTCGTAGTATCTCTCGTATTGGACAGTAAATATTCAGGTCATCCTAGTTCTCAGTGTTGTATGTGAAATTGAGAAAAAAAAAATCTCCAAAAGACCAAACACAGACAGAAATGTCCTTTTTATAAGCTACATGTTCCAACTTTGATATGCATTAATTATGATAATCAATTCAAAATTATTTGGGACACTGTTTCATTACTGCTTACTTCCGTAAGTACAACTCAGCTAAAGGAAAAAAATCTCCCCGCTTTATTCCAAACACATGCATACATAAATATTTTACTTGATGTTAGCACAGCATTTTCTTTATCTGTAGCATACACATGACTTGAAGCAGACTGGAAATACACCACTTGCTTCAAAGGCAATGCAGGCGGTTGAAACAGAAGATGAGAGAATGCTGCCCCCAAATTTACACGCCTCTGCTGACAGAGTTGCAGCCAGACTGCGTTACCAGCCCAGCAGTCTTGGCCGGGAGAGGATAGTTCACAATCCAAGCTGACACAGCTATGCCAACAAACCCATGGAGCCCAATGCTGGCCTCAAACTATTTTAGAAGTGGTAAGCAAGCCAAGAGAAAAAAAAGAAAAGAATTGAGGATTGCTGCTTAACACTCCGTGAAAACATTACAAGAGACAATGGAGGGAGTTGTGCAGCTTAATGTAATTTATGTTAAATTTGGTGTTCTGATGGTATATTGGAAAGGACACTGGGAAACATCCTTTACATTTTTATCAATGGGGAAGCTGATGCATGTGGCTGAGCCTAAAAAGTGTTCTCCAGCTGAGGGAAAAAAACAGGCCCAGAATTGCATTACGAGTGTATTGCTGTAGCTTCATGTCTTCCAGCATCATTTGAGCAAACAGCTTTATGGCCTTGTTCTACATGTCACATGCTTTCCACCCTGTAGTAGGAAGCATAAATATGTTCCAGTTCCTTTATAATGTCAAACAAATGTTTAGTTAATTCTTCACGCTCCAAACTTGGAAGTAGATAATAAGAGGTTGGTGGTTTTATACTTGATGCTCCATGTAGAAGAACAGGAGGATAAAAAAGATCTCACTACTGCTGTGTGGAGAGCAATGAACTCAGAATCTTCCAGCCAGAATAGACACATTTCTGCTATAAGCAAGCAATGCTGCATTTTGCCAAATTTCCTGCTTATTTACTTGTTAACAAACTAAGTACTTATACTGAAAGGAGAGAAATAAGCAGGTTAGCTCTAGAGGACACCAGCTTTGAAAAATACTGTCTGCACCACTGCGCCATTTACATGTATTCAAATTGTGACACTTCAGTGCTCTCTTAATTTTAAGAGTCACTTAAGGCCAACACAGGAGCTGTTTTATCTGGCCAATCCGTGTAGCTACACAGATGTCTGCTTTGAGAAATACTAGCTAGCAGCTGTAAGGTATGGTGTTTTAACAGGGAACTACAGGAAACAGTTGTGCAGGGCTGTGTTGTAATAAAAACCAACCAACCAGAAAACGCCCAGCGCTCAGGATTTCTTGACTATGGCAATCCTGAATAATTTGCATGGCAATATATCCCCCTCCTCCTCTTTCTCCTGTATGAAGATGCCGAAGCTGTACTCAGTCACTTTCTGCAAAATTCCTGCTGCATCAGGATATGGGAAAACAGTGCTGGTGCTGCAAGAGCATATCAGAAATACCACATGTAACTGAGAGCCTTTCCTGGTTCCAATGCTCTCTTCCCCATCACAAGGTAGGAACTAGTGATAGCTGAGAGAAAGCCTTACTAGGACCACTTCCCTTCCCACTGTCCACAGAAACGCCCACCAGCATCCAGACAGATGAGCCTCTGACCGCTGTCCCAGGTCAGAGATGACCTGCAGGAGCAGGATTTAGACGACTCTGGTCATTTGAGGAGCGAGGGTTGCCTTGCAATGGAGCCACCCCTGCTGCTCTAATGAAAAAGCCAAAAGAAATCCTCATGCACTTGTATATTGGCAGCACTGCCACTTTGCACCCATGTGGTGTGAGCAGGCACACTCTGCTTCTAAACCGTCATTGCACAGAAATACAGTGAAGGGAAGGTATTGCATAAATTCATGGGAAATTAAGAGGTTTAGTCAGGAATATATAATTAAAGAAACTGAACAGACCTCCTGTGCTCTTGCTAATTGCTTTTATTTTACTGTGTGCCCAAATAACCATGCCAAGAAAGACACGGGTATCATTGCTTTGGCAGGGACAGAGTGGAGGAGGAAAGGTCAGCTTACAAATTCATACAGCTCCTCAATCTATCCTAAACCTTTGCTTTCTATCATTTTTAAATGACAAGTCTAAGACGATGAAAGATTGACAGTCTGCTGGTTACTGTGGATCATAAATTAATCCCAAAAATGCCAATCAATTCTCAGCAGTCAAAAAAAAAAAAAAAAAAAAGACTTCGAGCTAAAAAATACTGGCCCTGTAAATGAAGAGCTTTTCTGAAAGGCAAATATTGCAAGAGTCTCCACTAAAAATACTCTTAGATATTTTTCAGGCATGAATGGGATGAAATGAAATGTGCAGATGTGAAAAAAGACACTTTGCTTAAGCTCTGGCAAATCAAGAAAAGAGAAAGAATACAAAACATAGATTTAATGGTATAAATGAACAGAAAGGTCTGGGAGCAAAAACTTTACGCTTTTCACAGTCTCATCCCTGCAGCTCTATAAAGGCCAGGGCTCTCTCGAAGCTGGAATGGGAATAAACAGCCTCCTGGTCAAGCTCCTAGTGAGAGGAGCCAGCAGCAGCAAACTTGGCAAGCCTGTGCCTGCCAGCAATTCCCACACACACACAAGGGAAAGGAGAAGCAGCCTCTCTTCTCACCAGCTTCTCTTTGGTTTTGGAACTGAACTTCTCCCTCCCTCCAAGGCTGAAGGCCTCCCCTAGTTGTCTTCTCCAGAAACAGTTCATGCTCAAACCTTTCTACATCAGCTTCTTCAGCTCATATCCCTCCATTATAACCCTACCACCTTACAATCCCACCAGAACAAGATAACAATGAGGAGCTCAAAAATTAAGTACTTCTGTCTTAGCTCTTTCTGGATAACAAGATTATTATAAAGTCAATTATTCTCACTGGCAAACATTTGAGTAAAATATTCAGTATTTCTTTATGCAGAAAAAAAATATAAAAGTTTTTCTTTATTATGATTAAGCCCATAAGCTGTAACCTACTTATAATACACAAACATTATTCAAGTGAAAACATTCAAGCCTTTGTTATTGATACATTGTAACTCCAGCCATAAAATACCTACTGCATGTTAATCACAGAACCACAGATTGGCTGAGGATGGTGGGCACCTCTGGGATTGCCTAGTCCACCCGCCCTTCCACCTACAGCAGGTTGCTCAGGATTGTGTCCACTTGGGTTTTGAATATCTCCATGGATGGAGACTTCCAGTCTGTGTGGGAAATCTGTGCCAGTGTTTGACCATGATATGATATTTACTATGATGGTAATTTTTTTTTCTTCCATTTAAATGAAAACTCCTATCTTTCACTTTGTGGCCCTTGCCTCTTGTCCTGGCAAATGGGTACCACTGAGCATACTTTGGCTCCGTCTTCTTTACTCCTCCCATCAGATATTAATAGACATCATTAAGATCCCCCCAGAGCCTTCTCTTCTCCAGGCAGAACAGTTCCAGCTCTCAGACTTTCCTCATGAAATAGATGCTCCAGGGCCTTCGTAATATCTGTGGCCCTTTGCTGGACTCTGTCCAATATGTTCATGTCTGCCTTGTACTGGGGAGTCCAGATCCAGACTCAGCACTTCAGGAGCTGAGTAGAGGGGAAGGATGACCTCCCTTGACCTTCTGGTAACATTGCCCAGGATGGCACTGGCCTTCTGTACTGCCAAGGCACATTGTTGACTTTTTTCCACCTTTTTGCCCATCAGGACCCTCAGGTAATAAAAAAACCTGTATTGCAGCAACCAAGCTACCAAACCCGCATGTTCTTGTACTGTGATAAGCAAAGGGGAAAATTACGTAGAAAATGAACAACCAACAACTTAATACAAAGATGTGACACCAACTTTCTTGTCATACAGGTACTAGTAAGACCCCAGGAAATTCCTTTGGTATTTAGTAAGATACAGGGATGAGATCAGAAAGATTTCAAATGTTATGTGCTGGATGGTGCTTCCCAGACTGGAAGCCAGTTGTGCCAGAGGAAAATTTATAAGGATTCAGAACTGGCACCTCCAAGGGACAAATTTTATTTCTGTGCAAGACTGTAGGCTTGGCTTCCCCACGCCAGCAGGCACCACCTCTCCAAAATGTCTCCTTTAAGCTGCTGTGGCTCCTGGTTTGGCCTGTCCTGAAACACAACC